GAGTAAAGTGTCTTGCCCAAGAACACAAACACTATTTTCACCATCAGTTTTTGAACCCATATGTACCCAACCTCGTCCCCAGTGCTTACTTTATTTCCAACCGCGTTTCCAATAGTAAACCCTGGATAGGAAACTTTCTTCCTGTATCCTGATTGGATACCGCAATTGGCTAGTAATGGATTTTTATCGTGTACTTGGTGCTATTATTCACAACGTGCAGTACGTGTTTTCGCGATCATTCGTCCACGCCTTCTCGAAAATACTAATTTCCTTTCCAATTTGCTCATATTAATATGAAATATGATACTGCATGTTGTCTCGATAAGATCGTAACAGTTTGATTTCAAAAATCGTGTTTTCGTTACTCACGCCGTGCTCGGGCTGCTACGAATTGACTCTGTTTTTACTCCAGACACCGCATGCAAAAACAAACGCTAATGTGTAACGCATATCCAGGCACCAGACTGTTCTGATTTGCATACGTGTTCAAAAATCTTGCACATGCAAATGATCCAATACCAGGGTGAGAGAGCAGGTAGTGGTGGGCGCGTACTGCTCGACACCCTGGGGACGGGGTTGATATGTACCATGATGACGCATGAGTTGAACACCGTAGCCATTGGACCATGGCACACCTCATGCGTGATCACGGTCTTGTGCATTAAACTTGACATCTTGTTGGTAAAATGTAGATCATGGGTTTGAGTCCAGCTCGTGGGGTTATAGTGCGTGTGTCCTTGGGCAAGACACTTTGTCTAATTGCATGTCCCCACCCTGGAGGAAATAGGTACCACTTACATGTATGAGGCAGAGATGATTATTGTGTTTGAATAACAATGTGTGGAGCTGCGCCAAAATTACAGTTACATACGTACATATTTTTTCTGTATTTCTCCCAGAGGGCTGAGATGGTTCAATGAATATTTTATAGGCCCAATAGGTTAGGGCTATTACGCTGTAACATTCTGCAACGTAATCATGGTTAATCGCTATACAAATAAGCAATATTATTATTCAGAGTGTAATTACCAAATTAAAGAAATGCCTTGCGGACATTTGTCAGGGGATGCTGAAAGAGGATTACATGAGAACCTTTCTCTGAAATTAACCATGGGATAGAGAAAAACATGGTGAGCTCTGGCATAGTGTGCCCTTCAGAAAAAGGGATTTTGTCGCTCGCTGCATGTCTTGACAGGACTCGTCCGCTTGTCGCATTTGATTCCTACTGTTTGCCTTGATACTTGATTCAGCTTCGTGCATTATTCATCGTTTCTTGCATCCCGCTGCTATGCCGGTGAGGGGCTCCGTTTTGGATCAATATATTCCACCTTGGAGGCACAGTGTAATCTCTCGCTAAATCTAACCCGTAGGCATACTGTCTTGCTAAGTGTCACAATTATCCGACCTTTTCTTTCGCATGTACTTGTAAACCTTTCGAATATTATTTTTCCTACATGTACAATGTATGCAGCCTACTGAAAATCCTGTGCACAAGTTTCTTGTTTTGTAATTTGAAATTGTGCAGTTGCAGTAATTGGCAAACTTCATTTCACACGTTTCAAAGCAAATTTTTGAAAAATACCGGTTATAAAAATTAAAATCAATGTCATTTTGTTAAAAACCCTTGCATGCTTTCTTGATATTGGGCATGGTGGGGGAAAAGTTTTGAAATTGCACAGTTACGGTACCTTAATTGTACCGGTACATGAATATTTAAAAATTCTAAATTTACCCGGGAAAAAGTCCAACACAAATCCTACATGTGTTTCAGACACCACAACAAAAGTATCCCCAAACACTCGACCATGGGTACCATGTGTACATGAGAGAAATGCAAAGGATTTATGAAATTCAAGCAATTCCTACCACAGACGATTGGATCGTCTTGTAGGAAATGTGAAAGACTTTGCCTTACACACAGCAGAAATTCACCGCGCTCCACTTTATCAAACCACTTGTCCAATTCGATTTGGATTGAAGCTCCACGTTTAATTTTGTTGTCAGAAGGTATTAGTCCACGAGGCGAGAGCTGTGTCAGATGTGACAGCTGATTGTAGTCAGAGAAAACGGGCAACGTAGTTGCGGGAAGGGTGGGGAATGTGGCGTTTCATGACATTTCCGTGTCCGAAATTTCTGTTTGGGGTTATACATGTATGTGAAGAGATTTGTAAAAACCCTTACATACCGTACATGTAGTGATCAGTTTTGAGATGTTATGGTCATTAAATTTGATTTTTCTGCATTAGAGCATTCAACTTTTATGAACTACTATAATGTTTGATGATTTAAGAAAGAAATTAACCAAGCCCTTGAAAGTGCTTCTGTGTGATAAATGTAAAGTTTAAAATACATGTATGAAACTTTAACCACGTGTAGGTTTTTTTACCTCATGTGAACATGTGCATGGTACATGTACATGTAAGTTGTTAAATTTTAATTCAGGATTATTCAACTGGAAAGCACGGGTATATATGCATTCAAAAGCGCGAGTAATTTGTGGCAGGTTAAAAACATTTTGTTGTGGGAAAGTGATGGTGATTCTGATAGGGGAAGACTGTGGCAGTACAGTGTTATATTTATGCAGTGTTCATGTACATCAATGTACATATTTTTTTTCCAAATGTTCTTGGTACTACAGTGCAAACATGTTCAATTACATAATTATTGATAATATCAATATAATTATATCAAGTACAAATGATAAAGAGTATAAATTGCTCAAAACATCCCATAAATTACCCTGTAGAGAAAAGCAAAGTTCGCTTTTGGCTGCCAGCATAAAGGATAGAGAGATTGGAGACACGGCAGGGGATCCCGCCTGCAGGTGACATGATGATGATAATGCTCGAAGCAGAACAAAGCAGAACAAGTCAGAACACGCCAAAGGAAAAAAGTCCCATGCCGGCAACGGCATACATGTATGCCATTCCTTAGCTTTTCCTATCACATTGGAGATCCCAATCATGTTCACACCAAGTGCTTTCATGACAAACACTCGACCGTGCCCTGACGCCATAAAATTCCGGCCAGCTGCGATGCCATCTGGGGAGAAGGCCCTTTTTAAGTATTCCTGCCCTGCGAAAGAATCAGCAGTTTAAAGGAGCAAGACCTGAATTGTCCACAGATCTAAAACGTGTTTCATTCAAGACGGTAATAGTTGGAATGATTTAAAAGTAGTCCAGCATGCACACAACTTTACTTTAAGAATGTGGTTTTCGTGTAATAATCACGCCAAGGATACTCCAAGTCACAGATTTCTGCCTCAAAAGTGTGCGTTAGGATCGCCATACATGTATGTACATGTACATGTAAGTCTAAAATTGGCGTACACTGTACAGTTTGGCTCAAAGTTTGATGTTTTTATTCAGTGCTAGAAATACATGTACATGTACATTTACGTACAAATGTATGTACAATGTACATACAAAAATGTATGTAAGGTAAACATTGCCGCTGCGCTAAACATGAACATGAATGTAAGACATTGTGTGGATTTTCTGTGACACAGAAAATCCAGACTTGTATGGTTGTATGGCTATCACTGAACCACAAGATTTTGGTGATTTCCGGATGAATGTGTACACCGTACTGTTGTACCTTTAATTTCAATCTAATCCACTGTTCGTGTCTGTGTTCCCGTGGGCTGAACACTTCACTTTGCGCACCTCATTTCAAGCAGCATCTGTGTCAGCTGGATATGTGACTGTTATTGATTCTGTGCTTTGTTTAGGCAGAGTGGATATTGTCTCAGTTGAGAAGACTGTTGATTTGAGTGGATTGGTCCAACGAGCAATTTACATTATAAATGGTGTTTGTTTAGTGAGGATTAGCATGCCACTACCATAGCTGGGGTAGTTTTATGGTACTGCCAAAAATATTATTTTTTTTGCATGGGGATAAGGTAGCACTACCGTTTAGCTCTAAACCATGTTTACATGTCCAACGCCTTGTGTCCATGTGGCATCAACCTTACAGTCTTGAGGTCTTTACCGATACAACAATGGATTGTCTTCCTCCATGGTACAGCCAAGCCGTCATTATACCCTAGTTCACATGAGAGTTGATATTCCAATTTTGTTTTGTGTGTAAGACTGACACGTCTGCACAGTGTTCAATTTGAATGGATTCCCAAGAAGCTTCTTGAAAAACTAAATTGCAGATGGAGTTAGGGTGAATGACCATTGAGGAGCAATACATTGACCTACATGCAGAGTCATGATGATGTCCTAGCTGACAGGTCATGTCATAATTAAACCATGAATAACACATGTGAATTGCCTGCCTGACTTGACAAGCAGGCTAGATGGTTGAGTGCTTCAATCGCTCATACTATATGTCTGTACTTGATGAAGTTGTCAGCAGGAGGCCGCTCCTAATAAGTCCCGTATCCAGCAGGGCTATGAAGATTTCATTCTCATAGAATGTCAAAATGCATTGAGCATTTGACGCTAATAACATTACTGGCATACATGTTCATGTACAATGTACGTCGGTGAAAAGAAACTTAGGTTATTAAAAAGCTGAATCCCATGTAATTTGACACCTGTTCCCAGGAGGAAATTGATCATGTCTGGGCCTTAATTTCACACTTTCATTTCCCAACCCGTGTTGAAATCACCACAGGTCCACTGTAAGCCTAACCAGGTCCTATCAAACACGGGTAGGCAAGGCGTAGTTTTCACTCTTTTACTCGTTGCGTACATGTACAATATACGGGCTGTAAATTTTAGATTTTCTACTTGGGTGTTAATTAAAAAAGATATTTGTGAGGTTTTTATCATTATTTCCTGCCGGATTTAGTGAGAGTTGAAATCCGAAGAGACTTGTGACTCCTTGAATTAGAACTCATTCCAGAAAGTTTGGAGTAGCACTTTGGCCAGTTGCAATTTGGGCTCCAACTGCCAATTTAACTGATTTAATTAACCTACATGCATTGAAAAAGGGCGACTACGGTAGTGGATTGACTGAATTTGCTAGTATTTTGTCCTTTTTTTCTTCAGTTGTAAGAAGACCGGTTGAGTTTCATGCCATGGAGTTTGTTGAGTATATCAAGACTCCCAAGGTGGATAGCGTTACCCTGCATCGGCCCTTCTACGCCCGCGTCGAAGGCACGCTGTGCCTGACTGGACACCACTTGATCCTGTCGTCAAGGAAGACTAACACAGAGGAATTATGGGTAGGTACCGGTATCTACATGCACAGGCATGACAGGCTCAAGTATGACACGTACATGTGCGTGTTCATGGGTATGATGTGTTGAAGTCGGGCCCATTACAAGTCCAGCATTAATGTGAAGCATTCTAGGAAAATGAGACAGAACTTGGCAGATGTCAAAAATGAGCGTTTGTTGGAAATTTAGGAAAGATAATCATATTCTCCTTACAGTACTGTTTGTTGCACTTCAATCAGACAGTAAATCTGCAAAAAAAAAAATTCACCCCATTTTTTTTTTTTTTTCCATTTTTTCTCCACTACGGCCCATGCCCAGTGCCGTCTCATTTTTGCCAAAATGACTCACAAATATTCCTTGCCACAGTTCATTTGAATAGTTTGTTCTTGACTTAAATAAACTTCTGATATGATGGATCACTCATAGTTTCTTTGTCTTTGTTTCCGCACTCAGCTTCTCCACAGCAACATTGATGCCATTGAGAAGAAGTTTGTAGGCTCCGTGGGCCATCTGACTATCAAATGCAAGAACTTCATGATCATCCAGCTGGATATACACGGCATGGAGGAATGCCTCAACATTGCCAGCTCCATAGAGATGCTGTCCAACTTATGTAAGTCTGAACACGGCTTATGGCGCCACCCTGTAATACCTGCAGACTCCATCATGTCCATGTACCGGTAACCCTTCAATTGTTGCAAGGGGTTGGGCCAGACTCTGTGTGGTCATGTTTGGTTATGCATGGTTGTGCACAACTGTACATTGCTAACTTGCTCCAATGGGCTTATCACATTCACTCTTGCAAATAGTTTTAGACTGATGGATCTAGATTGGCAGTTTTTAAACTCAGTTCCCCTGGTGTCAGGTCAACTCGCCCCCTGGCTGACTGGCCCCTTACCGACTCGCCCCCTTACCGACTCACCCCTTACAAGCTCGTCCCCTGGCCGACTCGCCAACTCGCCCCCTCGTCTCTCCAATGGTCTCCCCAACTCACCCATTCTAGCCAATGAGAAGCACTTGTAGACGGAGCCCGTTACCATGGCTTTGTTTGTTCTGATTGCAGCGAAGGTGACTCTGACCTACCCGTTTTTCTACCGTCCCATGTCTGATGCCCTGGAGGATGGCTGGCAGGCATTCCTACCAGAGAGTGAGTTTGCAAGAGTGACCGGCGACGAATGGCGCTTGTCTCATGTCAACAAAAACTTCCAGGTGGGTGGGGTTTGACATGTATTTCCACAAAGGGAGAAATCATATTATTTGAGAGATTGTAAGATAGATAAAATTACAATTTCCAGAAAAACAAGTTTTTCTAAGGGGTGTATTCATTGATAAGGATGAAAGAAACATGTACATTTTGCCCCTCCCTAGGTGTGCCCAACCTACCCACAAACAGTGGTTGTACCCAAAGCTGTGGATGATGACTGCATCATGCAGGCTGCTGCATTCAGGCAAGGAGGGAGGTTCCCAGTTCTAAGCTACCTTCACTCTCCAAATGGGGTAAGCTATTTCCACTTACATGTACATATGTAAATGAGTCCAGAATCTTTTCAACAGTATCGTTTGGTGACTATCTTTCTACTAACGGAAATTTTCAAAAATGTGTCACTTGTCTCATCTTTAGAAAGGACCTGCGTTTATTGTTTTCTTCAAAATGACAGCTTGCCAGAAGGAATAATTTCACAGGGAGTCTAGTGTCATTACTATCTTTAAACCAAGTAAGCTTTTATCAATAATTTGGTCAGTTACTTTTTGGATGGCTGCAAATGATCTACTCTACTTATTTGAATTCAGACGGTAATCCTAAGGAGTGGTCAGCCCCTCCCAGGCCCCAACGGCAAGCGGTGTAAAGAAGATGAGAAGCTGGTCAACTCAGCGCTAGGTGTCGGCAAAAGAGGGTACATCATTGACACCAGGTCCTACAACTCAGCCGTCAACTCGCGATCCAAAGGTAGAACACAGTGGCTGGATGGCAGTGACTAAAGAAACGCACAAAACCAAACTCGCTTCATATTCTGTTTGGTGCAGTGGTAGAGTTTGTCAAGGGTTCTGTGATGAGCAGATGCATTCGTGTGTCCTTCAGCAAGCCACTTTATTGCAATAGGAGCAATTAATAATTAGAGGTGTATAAACAATACCACATTTTCACATCAAGATACCATGCAAGATACTGTATTGTGACAATGTATCATGGCATTGTTAATATACCAATTGACACCTCTATTCGTAGTGTATCACCAAGATGTACATTGTAAGAGGCCTATTTTTTGCATTTCAAAAAAGTTGTAAAGTGTCCTCTCCAATGATAACTTGTGGTGGCACTCCGTACTATAAATCGCTTCTATTACCTAGTGGGAGTGATGTGTTTAATAGCTCCATGGAGTGATTAAGGGTAGAGTTTGCTGTTGCGTCGGTTGATATCAGGTGCAAAAAATGATGTCTACAAACCGTGCTTACTTAACACGCTTAAAGAATATTTTGAAGTGAAGTCGTGTCTATGTCTGCGCGCTTGTGTGGAGATTTCTATTGTTGATTTAGTTTACAGAGTGAGTGGTTCTTTGGTAATGCTCATAAAATAAGTCGTACACATTTCTACCATCATGACGTTGTCATTCCTTTTTCGATTTCATTTCTTGAAGCTGATTTCCCTTCCTCCCCGTTTGGTTTTTCTCTCTTCGTTTACATTTTTCGTTTAGATTTTTATTTGATTCTTTTCCCTCCAGGCGGGGGCTTTGAGACTGAGGCTCACTACCCTCAGTGGAGGCGGGTTCACAAACCGCTGGATCGGTTCAGCAACCTCCAAGAAAGCCTGACTAAATTGATGGAGGGTAGGTCCCTGCCCCCCAAGGTTACCCCCCCCCCCCACCCAACCTCCCCCCTTCCAATCTTGGTCCAAGAATTGATTTGGATTTGATCCCCATAAGGCTGCCCTCAAGTCAACCTTGTGAAGACACAGATCAGTTGGCGACTGACTTTTCAGGAACAAGCTGTGCCTGAGCTACGACCGTCGGGAATGTATCAGTCACCGATTTCTTGCAACCTGAGTGTAACTGGGCCGGTATTAAGACAATGAGCATTAGTCAGTGCTAAAAAAACCCAACAGTCACAAGTTTAGGAATATTTCAACTTTTTCGCCTCCACTGAACGTGTTCTTGACAGGCAAGAATCAATCGCAGTCTATCTGTGTGAGAAAACAATATCGTGCGCGTATCCTGATCGTCTTATTTCATTGTGAAGCCAATCATCGTGCGGGAAAAGATTGTTTGAATGTTATCAACGCTGCATGAAAATGTCAGATGATCACATCTATGTCAAGGGACTTGAGCGTGGTTGCAATTATTTTGTGTCAAGATGCCGCCTGCTCGACGCTAATCTCACGATTGATTAGTTTTGTGACCCGGCCAGGCATGAATTTTGTGCTTGATGTCGACAGTTCCGTTGCAGCGCAAGTGTGGTCAAGCCACGACACTAGAGGGCGCTATCAATGAGATAAATGAAATCCAGACTTGGGAACTTCAGCACTCGTATTACAGAAATTCTGAGCATTCCTCATGCACATTATATTCGAGCTAACGTGCACGTGGGAGTAATAACATGGAAGTTCTCTGGTCTGAGTGTCAATGTTCTTAAGACTGGATTTGATTGATCTTGTTGATATGCACTTGCCAGTGACCAGCTGCATTAGGGAAACAAAAACAAATCCAGTCATGGACCAAGACTAACCTCCAATCCCTCTCAGTTGCCATAGTAACAAGCACATCCCATCATGCATTGCTCTCTAAGAAGCATTGGACTCTCACACCATGCACTGCACATCAAGTCAAACATTTCATTCTCACCGGTGCAGTCTAGTTCCCATAATCCTCCTGGTGTTCTATTTGCACTTTTCACCACCATTGTGCACTCCATCTCCATCGTATTGGCATTCCCATCATTCACTGTTATAGTCAGGTCCCTTTTTTTCTGAATCTGACAAGTACTGTGGACTACAAGGTGGTAAAGGAATTAAGCCTATGACTACGGCTGTGTATTCTGTGTACCCAGGCTATTGATTGTGTATAAGCCTGGGTATTTAGACAAAACTGGTTCATTGGTGCATGGGCTTGATTTCCACAATATCAAGTTATAATATCTCAGCTTGCTTGGGAACGTAGTAAACGGATTTGACTACAACACTTCCAACATGCAATTTGGTATTTATTTTCCTGTTGATCCATCACTTTAATATACCCGGTACGTTGCAATATTAACACAGGCAGGTATGTCAGCAGTTTGAAAAGACCGCCTAATCATTGCATTGCATTCCCACAATGCACCATTGCATTCCCACAATGCACCAGGTTTCTGCTCCCATCATGCAGTGTGCCTACCAGGGATTTCTGTGTGCCACCTGTGAGGAAATCATGTATCGGCAAGAGTTGAACACATTAACCATTTAACACTTGTATTAAATTGTATTACATGTACAGTGTATTTACTCCTCCAAAAATCAATCAAACCTTAAGAGTGCTGGGGCGGTATTGGGCGGTATAAGGGGTAACAGGCAGAGCGGTTGGGGGCAGTACAATTAGGGCTAATGGGTTAAGCCTGCTAAGTGCCTGGGACATGGGCAGATGTTACCTCTGTAGGCAAACAGCTATTAGTGTGATTGTTTTCAAAATGCCTGCCTTTTCTACATTTAGGAAGCAAACAATTTGGGTTTTTACCTACAGGAGATATTTAGGCCCCTGTCTTACGAGATGCTGGCTCAATGTACAAATATAGTTTCAATCCGTGAATGTGAGGCATTATGTGGATTTTCTTAACCGTTGAAATATGGCAAGTAAATAAGTTAAAAACCTCAATTTTGATGTCTCCAAAGTGGATTCTTCATAGATTGATTCCAATTTCAAAGATTTTTTTTATTGTATTTCAAATCGCATCTTCTTGCGTACAATCCCTAAATCAGCACTCGGACAGGATTTTCATTCAGCCAGTTTGTGTGTGTGACATTGAGATGCCAGTGGATGGGTATTCCTGGCAGTATTTAAGAATAAGTGTGTCAGCAGGCACACATTTTTAAAGCCACCCTCAATTATTGTTTTCTGCCGGATTGTAGCATTTCAGGTAGACTAATTTCACAGGGTGTTCGGTACCAGTCCCTTCTTCACTTTGAGCAAGGATTTTCTCAATTATTGCTGTAAATTATTTCTGGGTCATTACCAATGTTTTGACCTGCCTTTTAGGAGAGACACTTTATATGTGGAGAGTAAGGGTCATACTCACCAGTCTTCTTCCCATCTGACACAGCATGTAACAAGAACACCAACTCCATGGACAAGTGGCTAGGTCATCTAGGTGCTTCCAGTTGGTTGAGTAATGTCAAAGAAGTCTTGACTACTGCGTGCCTGGTGGCACAGTGCGTGGATAGAGAAAGTAAGTTCTGCCCAAAAGTTTGCTTTCCCTTTTTTTATTTGCAAAATGTAAACCAGTGGTGCAACTAGGGGAGTGGTGGACATGGTCCCCCCCCCCCCCCCACCACTCACCACCACCATGTGTGTCAGTGTAGATGTCAACTGAAATTGTATGCATAAAGATTTCTGCCGATTGATTTTGCTAAAGGTTTCAATGTTATTAAAAGAAGCAATATGAATGATCGACATGGACAAAAACTACATGGCAAACGTTTATAATAAGCAGGACAAGTTCTTTTCAGAACTAAATATCTTCTAAGTAGTAGTTATAACCACATGGTGTTACCGCAAACCGAAACGATACCGACAACTCCACCATGCAAAGCCTAAAATCATATATGGACAATTTTTGACACAATTTCAATGGTGCAGACTGCAAATGATCAGTATTGAAGCCCACCCTTGGTGGTGTCATTTTCATTCACTTTTAACTTCCCGAGTCATGCCTGTGTCTTTCTTCTTCATTGATTCAGGTTCATCTGTTCTGGTGCATGGATCGGAGGGTCTAGACGCCACACTACAGATTACATCCCTAGCTCAGATCATACTCAATCCAGACTGTAGAACACTCAGAGGGTAAGGTCTATGACATTCAGGAACATTGTGTCCAAGTATCAATCATGTGATGTAGATTTGTTTGTTCTGGTACATGGATCGGAGGGTCTAGATGCTATACTACAGATCACATCCCTCGCACAGATTTTTCCTCGGCCAGAAATTTCTTGGTACACGTCCACCCTAGTACAAATCCTGCCAATGCCTGGCCTGTGGCCATAGTTTGTCAAACTTCCTCTAGCATTTTATCTGATATCTCTGCACATGTTTGAAGCTTGCATCTTGCCTACGAATCTGTATTCTTTCCCGTCTATGATAGGTTTGAAGCTCTGATAGAGCGTGAGTGGGTTCAATCAGGTCACCCTTTTGCCAGTCGATGTGCCAAGTCATGCTACGCCGGTAGCAAACTCAAATGCACCGGTCCGGTCTTCCTACTGTTCCTGGACTGCGTGTGGCAGGTAATGGGCTGGGGACGGGGTACTAGACTTCATCCTTTTGATGTACGGTTTATGAAATCTTGGCTTTGTCTGCAGCTACTGCTCCAGGCTCCGGATTTCCAACTTTTTCAAATTTATTTCCAAAATTCTGATTTTTGTGATGATCTTTGCCCCGCAAAGTTTGATTTTAAAAATTACATTTCAAATTTGATGAAAACAGCACCGCGATATCTGTATTGTGAGCGCAATTTTATGTTGCGTTATTTTCAGAGGTTTGAGATTTAGTTGTACAAAATGTAATGCTTTAAAAATCACGATGATGATCTTTTGAATGGTGAAGAGGACAAGATTTCATTGACGGTTGTTGGAAGAAAAAGACAATAATGCTGATTTTATTTTAAGTGGAGCTGTTTAAATGAATACTGCACTTGTCTTGGGCCATGCTTGGATTTTTTGCTCGATTTTCTCAAATAAGAATAAAGTGAGCGTCTTTATTATCGAGTAAGCTACTCTAACTTTAATGCAAACTTTTTACCTAAGGAAACACTGAACATTTTTCACATAGTAAAATTTCTTTTTTAATCTAAAATAAAACGGGAGGTGGTGTCCTGAAATTGGGCACAAAGCTTGTTGTACATATACATGCATACGTATGTGTAACTGCAGCGCAGCCCAAATTTCAGACACAGATTGTGTTGGGCCTTTTTGTCCGATTTTGTTCCCCAGTTTCATCTCTGATTATTGCATACAGCTTATTGTCATGTTTGACTTTGTCTGATCTTCAGGTCATTCAGCAGTTCCAATGTTCCTTTGAGTTCAATGAGCAGTTTCTTATCCTCCTGTTTGAGAACGCCTACGCCTCACAGTTTGGCACCTTCCTGTGCAATAATGAGCACGAGAGACAGATGCTGAAACTGTCTGAAAAGACACAATCACTATGGTGAGATGCTTCAGGCTTTGCCAACTCATTTTTTTTTTTTTCTTATGTTTAAAATCAAATCAGAGTCTGTCAACAAGTCTTTTCTTTTTTATTATTTCCAACTTACCCTTGTAAAAAAAAATTTAAGAAAATATTAATTTATTACATATAATGTCAATATATATTTATTAATGAACTTTCTGTGTATCACCCTTACAAGGCACAATTGCTGTTATAATTATTTTAAATGCGAAATATTTGTAGGTTTCTCTGACGGAAAAGATCTAATGAATAACCAGGATCTATACGCCTGAAAGAATTCTCACTATGTTACTGGTTGCCCTCAATGCCGTACTACATGTCGTCTTAGTTTAATACCAGTCTTCATACTGTGGAGGGAGTTCATATACTGTACATGGGAGCCTATCATGGCTATCATAGATTTGGTTTTATTTAAATTCCTTACAACTACTTGCACCTTTTCATCCAACAGGACATACGTTAACAGGCCTCAGATACTAGAGGTATACATCAACCCACTGTATCAACCCAACTCCTCTGTCATATGGCCTTCGGTAGCACCACAGAGCTTGGTAAGATTCTTGTATAAAATCAAGCTAAATCAACATTTGCAAAAAGCTTACAGAAAAACCCCAAAGTATCAATTGACAATTTGATTTTGTAGCAGGGCTGTGCATTGGAACCTGGTACCCAAGTACCCGACCACTGATGTCAGGAACGGGTTCCAGATTTAGGGATCAGGTACCCGTAACCAACTTTGAATATTACTTAGTAACTTCTCTGACAATGAAACAGAAAGGTTTTTCAAAGAGTAAACCAGGCTACATGCAAAAACAAAACAGATTTGACGCTTATAAGGCTCGCGTTATAAGTTATTAAGTTGGCACACTATTAAAAGCTTACAGTACTGTACACACATGCATCGCTGCACTGACGCACTGATGTTGTAGTATTATCGCCTGACCTTTATGAACAATCTGAACAGAAACTTCTGAGATTTGAGTTTTGGGGTTGGTTTCTATAACAGGTCCCGGAGTACCCATTTTTTTTTCAATCGGGTACCCGCTTCCCATACTACCCGTAAATGCACATCCCTATTCAGTAGGCAACAAGTGAATAACACAACGCTCCTTGATTTACAGTAAACAGGGAAGCCACATTGACTGTGCAGATCTTACTTAACATGCAGTAAATTATGGATCTCTAAGTCTAATCAATATCTTTCATTTCTCTTCCTTGTATGTTTTGGTGTAGATGTTATGGTCAACCTTGTTCTTACGCTGGGACATGGACAACACTAGCAATGACTCAACCGACAAAGAAATCCGCAAAATCCAACAGAACGACAAGCAGCTCAAGATAAGGGCCATTCAGCTCAGAAAGTAGGTCTCCTGGAAATATTGCTCGCCTGCTTTCTGATTAGAGGTGTAATCAATTCATTGCAAGCCCCTTACTTTCCCTTCGTGGTTCGTTTGATGAAACTTTTTAGTGGTTAAACATTACCTTGTGTTCACATTCCACAGACAACTTTCCGAGTTGCAGAGAGAAGCCCTGGAAAAAGGACTGATCAGCGAATAGCAGCAGGGCTGCATCTTAACAAGACGCTCAACCTGATCAGGAAACAGCAGTAGGTTAACTTCTATCTGCCAGGTCCTGTGCATTGTTCAGCTTCAGCACCAAATTTACAGAATCAATGACTGGCGAAAAAAAAGCTGGATCGCATAAACATTGATCAGGAAACAGCCACCTGATACCTATTGGAATCCAGCTTGAGCAGCAAACGGCAGTTGGGAAACATTTAAGCCCGTTGTCAAGTTTGCAGGCGAAACTCTGATAATGCTGAACGTGATATATGTAGTTTACTCTCACAGTTCTACTTTATTCAATCAGCTGGTATTGGAGAACCTTAACATGTCTACATCATGAAACAGCCGCAGGGTTGCATCTGCCATCAGAGAGGCAATTGCAGGACGATTTTTCAAATCATACTGATCATATTTGGAGACGTCCATCAGCTGATCCTACCTGTCATCGCAATCATCATTTATTCAATGATTGTGTGAACCATCAAATGCCCTAAAGAAAAGCCTTTGACGAGATCTTCGGGTTTTTTTTCAACTTAACAGTTGCTTAAAAGGGAACCGTCAATGTTTCCACTTAATTAAGATATTTATTAAGATGTCAAACTGAGATCACAATGCTGTCACTGCTGTATATGCAATATTAAGAGAAAAAACATATGTCTTTAATAAGGGAATAAATGTGTGCTCCGGAGGTTTTTATCACTCTGTTTAATACCACTTAGAGTCTGGGTGCTGATAATTACCCGAGCCGGAGGCGAGGGTAATTATCAGCACCCAGACTCTAAGTGGTATTAAACAGAGTGATAAATACCGACGGAGTACATATTTATTCCCATTCATAAATACCTTTTCGGTAAAAAAAAATCATATAATTCGTTCAAAACATCCTGATTTTGTTCAACAAATTCACTTTATGCTTTTTGAATCATCCCTCCTGCAAAATAATGGAGTGTTCAGCTGGCGAGTAAGATGAAAACAACCCTTTTATGGAGATTGACGCGCGCGTATCATGTTCTATGCGATGTCGCGCAGAACGCACCTGGCGCGTTGCGTTTTGAATTTAGAACTATACAATTCTAACTCCCTGGTAGTGTTGCGCATGCCTACGTGAGGATTGTGAACGTTCAACCAATGAAACGATAAGAGCCACTGGATTTTTAGGAGTCCACATTTTATTGTGACACTGGAAAAGTGTTTAAGACCAGCTAGCCATGTCTTTATCATCCGTTTAATACCGGCCACGTGACGGGCTCTCGACCAATAGGAATGGCTAAACTGTCTGAGGTATTTATGAATATTGTTTCATGCAGTCCAGTCAAATGACAGAAAACTTAGTAAAGGGGTCTAGTACGAAGTTATCATGTTAACAATGTTTCACGACATATAGTGCCTTCAATAAGGCATTATAAATATTGATGTCATCAGTCATAAGAATTAGAGATTGCATTTGTTCGCAGTGTAATGAGGGAGATTCAGAAAAAAATTTACTTTTGATGCAAATTACAAAATCTGGGGGGAAAAAACAGTTAAAAATGCTGTTTTTTTAATTTAGGAAATGCCTTTTTCAAGAATGGTTCATGACGCAAGTCATTCTAGATTGCCTCCTCTCTGTCTTTTGTTTGAATGCTTTCTACTTAAGGCAATGGATGCAGTATTCAAAAAGTTAATATCATCCTTAATCAACCTCCATGATTCTATAAATAGAACTCAGCTGATTTTACTAATTTAAAGGTAACTCTGTAAACATTTTTTTGAGGCAGTTTCAAATTTATACGGTGGAATGGTGTGGAAACTGGCATATTTGTCTGTAAATCAATTTATTTGAATATTTCGCCTGTATCATGCCAAATTTGCCATTTTTGCTTGAAAACAAATTAATTTTAAATGAGACTACAATTATGTAAATGTACATATGATGCATATTTATATATTGAGAAGGGGAATTTAATAAATTTGTATAAATTGTGCAGTACAAGCAAAGCGAGCTGATTCGCACATTCAAACTTGTAGAACAAATGCACAGTACAATGGAAATACAAATGTAGGAATGTCTAAACACTTTAAACTGTAAAGTTGCCTTTTGGAACACATTGCATTCCAAGCTGAATGTTCTGCATATTATGTGAAGCGTTCTGGCAAAATGAGACAGGAAGTGGGCTGAGGTCAAAATTAGGGGTTGTGGCTACTAGGAAAGTACATTTGTACATCTTACAATAATGTTCGTTGGACTTTAATTTCAAGGTTTTTATACTACATGTATTTCTGTGAAACACACGTAGTAGACATGGTACACAATTAAAAAATTACACATACATGTAACAATAAATCTTAAAATTAAAAACACTAATGCCTGACTGCTACACAATTGACCTATCGCCGTTTGCGAGTTAGCCATGCCCCTTAGACAACCCTATGGAATTTTGTACGTAAACATTTGCTTGTCTAAGATTTTGCTTGCTCTGCGCCCATTTGCATATCGGTAATTGGACAAATCTTTTACAAGCTGCTATCGCGATTCTACCGTGATAGGTTATTATCTGCAACATGTATTTGATATGAAAATATCAAATCTTGATATATTGTTTTTTTGCTTTACAATCTTAGTGCATCAAATTACGGCATTGTGAAAACAAAAATTCTATCTTATAAATAATCTTAGTGCAATTCCTCTATGGTGTACCGCTCGTACCATTCCTCCATGCTTCTAAAACGCTTACTGAAAACGCATGCACAATTTAATGTAAATGAAGGAACAAAATTAATGAATAAATTAAATTTTTGTTTTTTTATTTGTAGGCTTCTGCTTGAATTATATTGAGGTTATTCTGTGTTTGAATGAAACACCTAGCTGGCATAATGGGCCTATGTTGATATGGAGTGGCATATAGGCAGGATGGGTAGTTACATATATGCTGCCCCCACAGTTTGTTGGTATCCATCGCAAGCTGCTCTCGGGCCAAGCTAGCATCGTGTAATTGGTGATAGTATATTGCATATTTGAAGGTTTGATGTAGATTATTACAGCCAAGGGTCTGGGTTGTGTAGCCCCTCGGAGGGAAACCTATTTTTCTATTCTGAATCAATTCTGCAATTGCAAGTGAATGGTTCATATTGTTTACTTTGTGATTTTATTTCCAACATGTATCAAATTGTAAGAAAAATCAATTTCGCCCCATTTGGGGGAAAAAGCAAGTTAAAGGGAAGATACAACATTTGCAAACATCAAAAAACGAAATGATCAAATTATCATGAAATACCGTACTGAATTGTTAGGGACTGACATTCTAAAGCATCCTTTAAAATCGTGGCTCCTAGTGTGATGACATTTTCAAGAAAAACTGTATTTTTCCAACGCTGGTTGGCCGACCAGCGTTGGAGAAAACTGGCTTTTTTCCAACAAGTGTTCCTAATTTTTCATATTTAGTTATTCTGACTTTTCATTGCAATTGATAAAACACCCATGAAAGGGTACAAGCCTGCTAGACTGATTCTCTTACCTACTATTCCCCAAAGTGTATTAATTGCTAAAGGGGGTTAGGGAACCAGACTACAAGAACATGATTGGTTTTCTTGGTTTTTCCAGCATCTACAAGCCCAAAACGTGCAACAAATCAGTTTAACAGTAGTTTCTATAAAATACTAATCCTCCAAATCCATTTATTTCTGAAAATGGCAGCAAAAGCAAATGTTGTACATTTCCTTTAACCCCTTACGAATTATAAATTTTGAGAAAAACCAAATTTTGCCCAATTTTGATGAAAAGAGCAAGGTTTATCCCTTACAGTTGTTAATTCTTGAGAAAATCAAATTTTGCCAAGATGTGCTAAAATGACCATTTTTTTTTTTTTTTCAAAATAGGGCAACATTTGGTTTTTCTCAAAAGTTCACGTTTCTAAGGTGTTAGCCTTGCTCTTTAAGCAAAATTTGGATTTTCTCAAAAATTAACAATTGTAAGGGGTTAGCCTTGCTCTTTTTATCAAAATTGGGCAAAATTTGGTTTTTCTCAAAAATTAACGTTTGTAAGGGGTTAGCCTTGCTCTTTTTATCAATATTGGGCGAAATTTGGTTTTTCTCAAAAATTAACGTTTGTAAGGGGTTAGCCTTGCTCTTTTTATCAAAATTGAGCGAAATTTGGTTTTTCTCAAAAATTAACGTTTGTAAGGGGTTAGCCTTGCTCTTTTTATCAAAATTGGGCAAAATTTGGTTTTTCTCAAAAATTAACGTTTGTAAGGGGTTAGCCTTGCTCTTTTTATCAATATTGGGCAAAATTTGGTTTTTCTCAAAAATTAACGTTTGTAAGGGATTAGCCTTGCTCTTTTTATCAAAATTGAGCGAAATTTGGTTTTTCTCAAAAATTAACGTTTGTAAGGGGTTAGCCTTGCTCTTTTTATCAAAATTGAGCGAAATTTGGTTTTCTCAAAAATTAACGTTTGTAAGGGGTTAGCCTTGCTCTTTTTATCAAAATTGGGCAAAATTTGTTTTTTCTCAAAAATTAACGTCGGTAAGGGGTTAGCCTTGCTCTTTTCATCAAAATTGGGCAAAATTTGGTTTTTCTCAAAAATTAACGTTTGTAAGGGGTTAGCCTTGCGCTTTTCCTCAAAATTGGGCAAAATTTGGTTTTTCTCAAAAATTAACGTCGGTAAGGGGTTAGCCTTGCTCTTTTCATCAAAATTGGGCAAAATTTGGTTTTTCTCAAAAATTAACGTCGGTAAGGGGTTAGCCTTGCTCTTTTCAGCAAAATTGGGCAATTTAGGTTTTTCTCAAAAATTAACGTCGGTAAGGGGTTAGCCTTACTCTTTTCATCAAAATTGGGCAAAATTTGGTTTTTCTCAAAAATTAACGTCGGTAAGGGGTTAGCCTTGCTCTTTTCATCAAAATTGGGCAAAATTTGGTTTTTCTCAAAAATTAACGTCGGTAAGGGGTTAGCCTTGCTCTTTTCATCAAAATTGGGCAAAATTTGGTTTTTCTCAAAATTAACGTTTGTAAGGGGTTAGCCTTGCGCTTTTCCTCAAAATTGGGCAAAATTTGGTTTTTCTCAAAAATTAACGTCGGTAAGGGGTTAGCCTTGCTCTTTTCATCAAAATTGGGCAAAATTTGGTTTTTCTCAAAAATTAACATCGGTAAGGGGTGAGCCTTGCTCTTTTCAGCAAAATTGGGCAATTTAGGTTTTTCTCAAAAATTAACGTCGGTAAGGGGTTAGCCTTGCTCTTTTCAGCAAAATTGGGCAAAATTTGGTTTTTCTCAAAAATTAACGTCGGTAAGGGGTTAGCCTTGCTCTTTTATCAAAATTGGGCAAAATTTGGTTTTTCTCAAAAATTAACGTCGGTAAGGGGTTGAACCTTGCTCTTTTTATCAAAATTGGGCAAAATTTGGTTTTTCTCAAAAATTAACGTCGGTAAGGGGTTAGCCTTGCTCTTTTCATCAAAATTGGGCAAAATTTGGTTTTTCTCAAAAATTAACATCGGTAAGGGGTTAGCCTTGCGCTTTTCCTCAAAATTGGGCAAAATTTGGTTTTTCTCAAAAATTAACGTCGGTAAGGGGTTAGCCTTGCTCTTTTCAGCAAAATTGGGCAAAATTTGGTTTTTCTCAAAAATTAACGTCGGTAAGGGGTTTGCCTTGCTCTTTTCATCAAAATTGGGCAAAATTTGGTTTTTCTCAAAAATTAACGTCGGTAAGGGGTTAGCCTTGCTCTTTTCAGCAAAATTGGGCAATTTAGGTTTTTCTCAAAAATTAACGTCGGTAAGGGGTTAGCCTTACTCTTTTCATCAAAATTGGGCAAAATTTGGTTTTTCTCAAAAATTTACGTCGGTAAGGGGTTAGTCTTGCTCTTTTATCAAAATTGGGCAAAATTTGGTTTTTCTCAAAAATTAACGTCGGTAAGGGGTTAGCCTTGCTCTTTTCAGCATAATTGGGCAATTTAGGTTTTTCTCAAAAATTAACGTCGGTAAGGGGTTAGCCTTGCTCTTTTCAGCAAAATTGGGCAATTTAGGTTTTTCTCAAAAATTAACGTCGGTAAGGGGTTAGCCTTACTCTTTTCAGCAAAATTGGGCAAAATTTGGTTTTTCTCAAAAATTTACGTCGGTAAGGGGTTAGTCTTGCTCTTTTATCAAAATTGGGCAAAATTTGGTTTTTCTCAAAAATTAACGTCGGTAAGGGGTTAGCCTTGCTCTTTTCAGCATAATTGGGCAATTTAGGTTTTTCTCAAAAATTAACGTCGGTAAGGGGTTAGCCTTACTCTTTTCAGCAAAATTGGGCAAAATTTGGTTTTTCTCAAAAATTAACGTCGGTAAGGGGTTAGCCTTACTCTTTTCAGCAAAATTGGGCAAAATTTGGTTTTTCTCAAAAATTAACGTCGGTAAGGGGTTAGCCTTGCTCTTTTCAGCAAAATTGGGCAAAATTTGGTTTTTCTCGAAAATTAACGTCGGTAAGGGGTTAGCCTTGCTCTTTTCAGCAAAATTGGGCAAAATTTGGTTTTTCTCGAAAATTAACGTCGGTAAGGGGTTAGCCTTGCTCTTTTCAGCAAAATTGGGCAAAATTTGGTTTTTCTCAAAAATTAACGTCGGTAAGGGGTTAGCCTTGCTCTTTTCATCAAAATTGGGCAAAATTTGGTTTTTCTCAAAAATTAACGTCGGTAAGGGGTTAGCCTTGCTCTTTTCAGCAAAATTGGGCAAAATTTGGTTTTTCTCAAAAATTAACGTCGGTAAGGGGTTTGCCTTGCTCTTTTCATCAAAATTGGGCAAAATTTGGTTTTTCTCAAAAATTAACGTCGGTAAGGGGTTAGCCTTGCTCTTTTCATCAAAATTGGGCAAAATTTGGTTTTTCTCAAAAATTAACGTCGGTAAGGGGTTAGCCTTGCTCTTTTCAGCAAAATTGGGCAATTTAGGTTTTTCTCAAAAATTAACGTCGGTAAGGGGTTAGCCTTACTCTTTTCATCAAAATTGGGCAAAATTTGGTTTTTCTCAAAAATTAACGTCGGTAAGGGGTTAGCCTTGCTCTTTTCATCAAAATTGGGCAAAATTTGGTTTTTCTCAAAAATTAACGTCGGTAAGGGGTTAGCCTTGCTCTTTTCATCAAAATTGGGCAAAATTTGGTTTTTCTCAAAAATTAACGTCGGTAAGGGGTTAGCCTTGCTCTTTTCAGCAAAATTGGGCAAAATTTGGTTTTTCTCAAAAATTAACGTCGGTAAGGGGTTTGCCTTGCTCTTTTCATCAAAATTGGGCAAAATTTGGTTTTTCTCAAAAATTAACGTCGGTAAGGGGTTAGCCTTGCTCTTTTCATCAAAATTGGGCAAAATTTGGTTTTTCTCAAAAATTAACGTCGGTAAGGGGTTAGCCTTGCTCTTTTCAGCAAAATTGGGCAATTTAGGTTTTTCTCAAAAATTAACGTCGGTAAGGGGTTAGCCTTACTCTTTTCATCAAAATTGGGCAAAATTTGGTTTTTCTCAAAAATTAACGTCGGTAAGGGGTTAGCCTTGCTCTTTTCATCAAAATTGGGCAAAATTTGGTTTTTCTCAAAAATTAACGTCGGTAAGGGGTTAGCCTTGCTCTTTTCATCAAAATTGGGCAAAATTTGGTTTTTCTCGAAAATTAACGTCGGTAAGGGGTTAGCCTTGCTCTTTTCATCAAAATTGGGCAAAATTTGGTTTTTCTCAAAAATTAACGTCGGTAAGGGGTTAGCCTTGCTCTTTTCATCAAAATTGGGCAAAATTTGGTTTTTCTCAAAAATTAACGTCGGTAAGGGGTTTGCCTTGCTCTTTTCATCAAAATTGGGCAAAATTTGGTTTTTCTCAAAAATTAACGTCGGTAAGGGGTTAGCCTTGCTCTTTTCAGCAAAATTGGGCAAAATTTGGTTTTTCTCAAAAATTAACGTCGGTAAGGGGTTAGCCTTGCTCTTTTTATCAAAATTGGGCAAAATTTGTTTTTTCTCTAAAATTAACGTCGGTAATTGCTGTTTTTATCAAAATTGGGCAAAATTTGGTTTTTCTCAAAACTTAACATTTGTAAGGGACAAATTTTAATTTTGGACAAAAATCAACTTTTGCCCAATTTTGCTAAAAAGAGCAAGGTTAGCCCTCTTACCAAATGTGATTTTACGACAACTTCAAGTATTTCTCTCTATGCCATTGGTTAGTCACTCAGTAACTCGGTCAGTCACAGGACAACAGGCTGGCTTCTCATGTCTGGCAAAAAAGAAAACGTTCTAAAACAATATATTCAACTGCGCACAATATACATTTTTTATTCACAACAAAGGCAAGCATGAAATTAAAATGGCTACCAGTATACATACCGGGGTACCTACGTGTACTTCACTGTGTAAAGGTTGTAACTACAAATGTGAAGGGGCATTCATGATAAGTGTGATAAAAAATGATCACAAATTTCTGTTTTACTATACACTAGTAGTTTACCAAGCTTACGAAGAGCTTCCAGTAATTCATTTTTGGCGACTGACTACGGTTAAATGATGTCCACAATGCTCAGAGTACTGTTGTGTACATGTGCCGGGAATAACTTCACAAAAAGAGAGATGGGCCCCGAATGATATTCCCAGACCTTTTAATTATTACTAAAAAAATGCCATGTCCAATCACGATGTCCTAGAAGAGCTGTTTATAATCTCCATGTTGGCCCCAAGTCCAACACAGAGATTTCTGGAACCCCTTTCACGCTAGCAAGAATCCAACATGGTTTCTACATGGGTCTGGAGCTCTACACGAGTGAAATACAACCCTGGTTAGGACCGGGGTTGAGAGGTAGGAAATCTCAATTCTACGTAGGACAAGTTTTTATTTCAAGATGGGTATAGACAAGGCAACTGTGTGAAAAGACCTATCCTGTCAACAACCAACAAGACCACACAAAGCAGCAATGTTTGTATACTGGCGAGGCCATCACAAGTCCATCACAAGTCATCCTGCATCAAGTCATGTCACAAGCTGTTTGAATGAACTGTGGAGCAGCCATTCGTTTGTTCTGTTCAGCCCCTGCTACACATGACTGGATTTATGAATGGACTTGTGATGAACTCGACTACCTAGCAGTTGTGGAGAAGGGGAATACAGACATGAGGGGCATCAGCAGCTCTTCAACTTAAGTTAAAAGCTTGAAAAAAAAGGACAAAAAATGTGCAATGTACACGCTCCTTTGATGAATAGTATCACCTAGCATCATACTGTGTCCTTTCCAAGTTAGAAAAATCAGAATACAGAATACTTTGCTACGTGAAGAGTAAAAGGGTTAAAAAAACAGGGGGGGGGGAAGATGGCTTACTTTTTACCTAGTTTCACTAAATTGTGGTTTTCTAAAACAAAATCTACCACTGAAAATATATTTACAATAAACTTGAATTAATTCAGCTAACATTATTAGAAAAAGAAAATCAGAACTAAACTCATTTTACCACTCCTACCAATGGAGGAACCCTGACATTTTCTCAACTCACAAAGGTTTGCCTTGAAGACTGGTGCCCTGCCACATCAGCAGCCTACACTGGTTCCACTTCCAATGTCACATATGATCTTCCAATGCACAAACCAGCTTCACTGGTACACACCATCAAGAGTGACCATCAAGTACCAGATCAATGTCTTGCAATGAGATAGCAAGTGTGATCAGAGTTACCTATTTCAAGGCGGTTTGGATCTTTCTAAAGGAGTTTGTACATGTATTCAGAGCGTCATCAAAATGTACCTCTGGTTCATTTCCAATTCACAATCGGGAAGCAGAACATGTCAAACGTAGAACATCTGCAAAGGGTCTGGCACCCTGTGTTCTGTCACAGCTCAAGATGTGGTGTTGGTCGACTCTGGTGCATGGGAAACCTCTTTGTTTTTCTGTGAAGTGAATGAAAATATCAACACAAACTGTACCATTAAATTAACTGTCAGTGATGTAATAGAGTAAATAGAAGTGGTGTGCATCAGAACCAGGTACCTGAGTACCCGACCACTGATGTCAGGAACCGGTTTTAGATTTTGGGATTGGGTATCTATTACCGACTTAACAAATTACTTAGTAAATTCTCAGACAGTGAAAAAGCAAGGTTTGAATGTCATTTGTGGGGAATTTTCAAAGTGAAAACCAGGTTACATGGAAACACTAAACAGACGTCGTTAAACTAAACTTTATGACGCTTGTGAAAGTTGCAGTTTTCTCCATATAGCTATAAAGCACACTGTACATGTATACACATGGACTGCTGCACTGACGCACCGATGTTGTAGTATTATCGCGCGGACCTTTATGAATAATATGAATAGAAACTTCTGAGATTTGAATTTTGGGGTTGGGCATCTTTAACAGGTACCCAGGTACCTGTTGTTTTTTTTCAATCTGGTACCCGGTTACTGTACTACACATACCCATAAATGCATACCCCTAGTAAACAGGTAAATAGGAAATTTCACAAGATACAGGGAACTAAAGAATGAAATAATGGCTGAACAGCCAGTAAAGTGAGCAAAAATAAATTAATACAAAATTTACAGCGAAATGAACAGGCGTGTTGTAGTCGCGTCCTCCACATGTCCATCACAAGTTTGGCAAGTTGAAGTCCAATTCACTAGTCCGGCCACAAGATACACACACACGAGGCAATGAATGATGGAATATCTAATCACAGTTCATTTGAATAGTTTGTTGCTTGAATTGGGACTGGACGACTAGTGATGGACTTGTGAAGACCTGTGCTGGACTCAACGACAACACTTGGTATATGTACCTACAATCCCGGCCAAAATGGTTGGGACACGTCCACAAAATGAGCATACCCTCCCCCGGTCCCCCGCTCCCCCAGTCAATGTTGTCATGTCGCGCTTGAGCACAGATTGCGCAGTGAGAGACAACATTGGCAGGGGGCCAGGGGGCCCAGCGAGTTTTGGCCGGGGTTGTATAAGTTGAAACAAAAATTGAAATGGATGATTGTTTCTGACCTGGCCTGACTCGGACCTGCTGGGACTCTTCTTCACTTTCTTTGCTTTCTTCACTGTCTTGGATTTCTGTTTCACAGAAGACTGAAAATGAGCAGACAAAAATAAAATTGAGCTATGAATTAGTACTTAAAGCATGCAAGCTGGAAATAATTTACAGGCTAAAAATTGACATTTACTCTTTTTATAAGTTTCTTTGTACTATGGGAATAAACATGTGCTTTTAAGAACGTTTAAAACTTGCTAGGGACCTGGATGCAAATAATGGCCCTAGCCAAGCACATCTTTATTCCCATTTATAAATACCTTTTGGTCAAAAATCAAAACAAGTCAAGAGTTCACAATTTTCCAACGATTTTGTGCAACAATTTTACGATTTAACGTTTGGGGTGCGATCAACCAATTAAAACCGTACCTTCTTCTCTTTTCCCTTGTCATTCTTGGCCTTCTTCTTTTCCTTCTTGCCTTCCCCTTCCTGAGTCTCCTCCTTCTCCTTGTCAAACATGTCATGGGTCCACGCTAGACTCCTACTACCTCCGCTACCGCCAAATAAGCCCCGCCCTCTGGGAGTGTATCTTCCCCTCACACCGGGGTTGTAGCCTCGGTTGTAGCCACGGTTGTTGCCGCGGTTGTTGCTGCGGTCGTAGCCTGGGATGAAGTTCTTGCCTAGGTAGCCTCGTCCTCGTCCCCGTCCGCCGCGGTATGTACCGGTACCGCGCATTGCACCACGGTACTTGCCGTTACGTTCAACCGAGTCGCGGTCAGATGACCTGGAACGGTCTTCTCGGCGGTCGTGCTGCTAAAAAAGAAAATGATTGAACAAACAATAAAATAAGTAACTCCTTCAAAGGAGGCAACAGTTTCAAAAATTCAAGATCAATTTACTCTCTTCCGTCAAAAGAAAAAAGTCATCCCAAGCACACCGTGTCCATACATGTACACACCCCATAGGAACATTACATACAAAGAGTTCTAGCAAGTTATCACAGAGTTTTCAACTCACATGGTAAAATGCCTGCTTCCTACTCCAGTTGAGTGACTTCCCACCTTCATTGCCGTCAGAGAAAGAGCTGTCTTCAGATCCTTTGGAGACGTTACCAAGCCGCTCTCGAACAGGTCTGCGGTCCCGGGAACGTTGATCCTCAGATCGGGATCGAGAACGCCCATGACGGTATGAAGATGTCTTATACTGATGTGATGGCGAGCGGGAACGGGAGCGGGAGCGTGAGCGCTGCCTGGACATGGGACTCCTCCTGCGAGACCTGGATCGGGAACGGGATCGAGACAAGCTTCTCATTTGCCCCTGCTGCTGCTGTTGTTCCATCTGCTTCCGGCGTGAGTCTAGATCATACCTCAGGTCATGTGGGCCTTTAATATCGGGCATGTCATCTGGCGGGTACTGGTAGGAGATGGGACTCTGAGGCATATCCTGCATGACAGGTGGTGTGTTCTGGACAAACATGGCCTGCCGGTTAAAGTCTGGCTGGGGCTGGACTTCCTTGGGTGGTCCATATTGATCCAGAGGCTGAACCTGGTATGTCGAAGGCTGAGCTGGGTACTGGTTGTCAAGACCCATCTGGATGACTCTGGGGGCAAACTGGAAGCTGGGGCCCTGGTAGGTTTCCCGCCTAGGCTCAAAGCCCAAGATCACAGGCTCTCGCTTTTCGATGAAGCTTTGTGCCTGAGGTGGGAGGGCACCGCTCGGCAGAGTGCCGGTGAAGTGTACATCTTGCCGATACACCACTGGCTCTTTCTTCTGGGGTTCCGGGCCTCCATCAGGAGGCAGCTGCTCAGAAGCAAAGCGGGCCTTCAGTTCTGGCCGATCAAATATTTCCGTCAGGCCCTCGTCCTTACGGCGGGGGATCTTCACTGAGTAGGGGTCAAATATTGGCCTGATGATAGGAGCAGGGGCCATCTTGGCATTTTGGGGCTCGGTAGGCATGGCTGGTTTGTTGCCCTGGCCTGAGGCATCCAGCTTGCTGTACTTCTCCTGGACTTGATAGTATTCTGCCTTAGGTTTGGAGATCTTGCGGTCGTAGGGCGATTCACTATGTTGGGCAGACTTGGGAGAGAAGCGTAGATCATCTGGAGACACAGCTTCATATTTCATCTCCTTAGAGTAGGACCTCTCCGAAGGCTGGCTGTGGGACAATTTGGACTGGCTGCCTCCTGGCTGACTATTGCCCCTGTCATAGACCACATCGCGGGAGGCCTGAGGTAACTGGTCTTGTGCCTGGACTCCTTTTCCATACTCCTCTCTGTAAACATTATGGCCAGGAGGAAGTTGAGGTCCTTCAAAGTCTCTGACTTGCTTGTCTTGGTGCAACTGACCTGTACCCTCTTGGTAGCCTGAGTGGGAGTCAGCCTGCTCATCTCGTCCGTAATTAGCACTTTCATTTTGTTGGCGGATGGCCTCTCGTCCACCTCGCTGAGGTGATCTCTTGGGCGACCTGTATCTTTTATTTCGATGAGATGGAGACCGAGACCTGGACTTAGCCTTGCTCGTTGATCCACCGTAGTGACGTTTCTCAGGGGTGTAAGAGCGTGAGCGTCTGCCTCCTCGTTGCTTTGAGGAGGAACTCTTATAGCTTGACCCATGGTCCTTCCTTGGTGGGGATCGGGAATATGAGCGCCCCCTAGTGGTCTTCTTGCCATGAGGGTGGTACTTGGGGTTACCTCTCAGAGGTGACCTGGATCTGGACCTGGATTGTGAACTGACGCTGCTGGAATAAGATCTGTATGAAGAGACAAATCTGTTAGTATTCCTGTCCTCAGTAAAATGAAAATATGTAGTGTCATAACTTAACAGAATCTAAACTTCTCCACTTGACTCTGGTTCTGAGAAGAATGTTAACCAACCAGCTTCACTCTTTGTTAGAGAATGTACATGGTATAATTGGTCGTATGGATTACATGTAAATACACATCATGTGCTCCCTGATAACAAAATGCACTGTGTCTTACATGTAGGACTTGTAGTGCGTGTACAGTCGAAGGAGTTTGAGTGTACCTTCTTGAATTGTTGGCACAATTTCATGGCTCTGCCAACCACAAAATACGGCAATCACTGTCCATCAATGGACAATTAAACGACACACATTTCTCCACTCACAGCTACAATTTTACATCTATTTCACCACAATAGTTAAAAGGCTTGAATTTGGTAAATTTGATCTGTAATTAAAGCATGTTCACTAGCCTTTTTCAGCTACACTGTATTGGTAAATTTGGGTAAAAACCAACCGAATCCAAAGAATGTCCGCATATTGTGTCCACCCATTGGCAGATCCATGAGAGGGGGGGGGGGGGGGGGGCAAGGCAACAGGGCCAACTAACCAACCAACCAACCACCCCCCCCCCCCCCCACAATTGTCTTTTTTTTTGTTTTTTTTTATCGGAGGGATGAAAGACACCTTTTTCCACAATGTGGAAATAGCGCATACTATACACATATCGGTATACATGTACTTAATCCCCTATCCCTTTTGGGGAAAAAAACTGAGCCCTCTTGCCCCCCCCCCCCCCAAAAAAAAAATTTGTTTCTTGATCCGCCCTTGTGTCCACCTAATCTCAAACAGCAAATTGTAAGCGTTCAAACCAAATTCAGAATATCTGGCATGTCATGTCATGATGTGGTACGGTACATGTAGTTAAGTCTACTTGACCACAAAACTAACCAATGAATGGGTATGGAAAATTAAAAAAATAAAACTGGCAGGTAAAATGCTAAGGGGTGGATAGAAAGGGAAGAAAGAAACAAGAAAAGAAAGGAAATTAAATCTAAATGTACGAAGGCTTAAGATAGGACAAGAATGGGTGCAGAGTCATGGGGTGCTATCACATCATGCAAACACAAGTTTCCATTAGGCTAATACCGTACCTTTTCAGATGCACAACGATTGCTCAACTGCAACCTGTGCTTCCATAAGTCAGTCCACTTACGTTCATGTGGAACATTTTTTTTCCTTTCACATATTTTAAACTCTTTTTTCCCTCAGCAAGTGACCACATTCCAGCACACTTTTTCCAACATCAGTAGAATGCAATGGGGCACTGTATTCTCCTTCAGGGCATTATGGCCCATTTACTGGTCACTTTATTTCCACTGCTGGGTACCGGTATCTCCCCTAGCTGGGTGCCATTTCCCCTTCTGGATGCCAAGTTCCCCTTGGTGGGAACCATGTTCCCTTGATGAGTGTCATGTTCCCCTTGATGGGTGTCCTGTTCCCCTTTGGTGGGTGCAACATTCCTCTTGGCTTGGTACCATGTTTCCTTGGCTCCATGCTACCGGTTCATGTACATGTATGTTTTCCTGGCTTGATTCCATGTTCCACTCACTGGGTGCCATGTCCCTCTTGCTGGGTGTCATTTACCCTTCTAGGTGTCATGTTCCCTTGGTGGAAGGCTGGAAGCGATGTTCCCTGATGGGTGCCACATTCCCCTTGCTACTGGTAGGTGCCATGTACCTCTTGCTGGTTGCCTTGGTCCCGTTGCTGGGTGCCACATGTCCTGTAGCTTGCTGGGTGACATGTTCCTTTTGCTGGGTGCCAGATTTGCCTTGCTGGGTACCATGTTCATACATGTATTACTTGGTGCCATGTTCCCGTTGCTTTCCTTAACAGATACACGTAGTCACCTCACATGGTGAGTCTGCAACTTTCTGTTAGGCTGTCCTCTCCACAAGTTTTTTTTTTCCTGGGAAGGTTATGGAGTTTCTCTCTTTTTATTTCCTGCGCAATCCAACAGACTTTTCAAAGCTTTGGCGTCTTCTGAAAAACTTCACACAATGTAATACATAATCATTGTACTCTTCATTGGTACTTGGCCGATTTGACATGATATGCAGTTGTAAATTGTGATTGATGACATCATTCATTTTTCTTGCCTTGGAAGTCATATTCTTGCTTCTCCATAAAAAGTCTCTAATCCACGGTACAAAAACACTTGTCATCCTTCCGTCCTGTGCATTGATAATACACATCATAAGCATCTTCACTCTTGCAGCATTCATGATGTTTACCCTTAATCATGTTAATGTCCCTCGTTTCAAGAACCATCCACTTCTGGGCTCAAGTCATCCTCAAAAGAAAGAGCTGCGATGAAAGTATTTGTTGTCGGTAATACTTCAGGATTCTTCCAAAGTTTCTTTTGCATTCAAACAATTTTCAGATTCCAAACTCCATTTTTGCACGTCTCCATTTGAAAAGAATTGTACAGCATCCACAGACAGTTGGGGCTGCAAACGCGCACAAGTCCATTTACGTCTCTCCGTAACTGTCTCGTGCAAGTACAAAACTCTTGTATGCGTACACAAGTATTCACAGCTGCATTTCGTTTAACAAAAAGCAATAGAAATTGTGAACTTTCAAGATTTCTCATGATTCCATGACAGGTATAAGAATTGACAAATTAAAATTGAATTTCTTTACATTCGTGTGAAATTTTTTTGGGGCCACTTCACTATTTAAATGAGTCTACTAAAGGTATCAAGTGTTTTTGACACATACCGTAACTGATTGAATGGTTCACTTTTCTTTTGCTTTTTGCCCTAATACAGACTTTCGTTCCTCGTCCGTTCAAGAAATCAGAACCCGGTTCTAGTGTTCCTTCCGAGGCATCCTTGGTCCAACTGCTGACAGATAATCAATGGATCCGATTCTCATGCTTGCTGCCCTGTCTGTATCAGGCCAGAATTCCATGTTCCAAGTCATCATGGTTTTGCAACGCTATAGTACTCAACTTCTTTTGGAAACCAAGTATCGACGCAAGACTAGGTATAGATTATGTTCCCAAATCACAGACACTTCATGGCAACATGCCAAGTCGCCGCCATGATAGAGGGCGCTTTCACCAAAATCAAACTGATCCAGTCTTGTGAATCGTGGTAGGGCTCAAGAAATTTTGATCTTAAGTAGACCTCAAGTGCATCTACTACAAAGAATGTACTGTATCTCACATGAGGTATGCTCGGAAGTTCTTGGGTCCAAGTGCCAAGATTCCTAAGACTGAGTTAGATTTATTTTGTTGACAGTGCCCTCTAGTGCCGAGGCAGCTTACCCGTGTTGGCCAGTGCGGGACAGGCTACATAGAGGAACATAATCCAAAATCTTGTCTTGGGCAAAGATAATTGCAGCTTCTGAATTGGGAAGGGCAATCTCAAGCTGGTACATACAGTAACATGTACATGAGGATTGTTTACGTGTGTAAGTTCAATCACATCTACATGAACGTGTAATGTACACCAGACAATTTGCCAATCTACATCAACTCCAGCCACAACGTCAGCCAAATCTTGACAATCTTGACAGAGAAACAAGTCAATTTAAAACAGAAAAATCACATTTTTATGTACAAACATTACACAAGTAATTACAACAACCCATATTTGCATCTTCAGTTTGTGGGATTTAGTTGAAAACAAATTTCTTCAATTTCTGTAAGGGACAAAGATGCAGTTGAGTAAATCTAGTGTATTAATGATCATTCCAAATATGACCATTTCAAGATAGAGCACCGCTTTTTACTGGGCTCAAATCGCCAAAATCAGGACCACTTTTATGTGTTAACCCTCCTACACTACATTGTATTAAGTTGTATTCATTCACTGATATTTGTACAGGGAATAACAGGCAATATGCTTTCGACTAATGTACAGAGAATAATGAATTAAACAGAATAAAGGGTAAAACAGTTTGACCAGTTGAAGCAAGAAGAAATTTGTCTAGTTTAATTGGTCATTCTCAGAAAAACACAGGAACTGCATACTTCCACTACCCCGAGACTCAAACCAAAAACCAATGCATGGAGAATCTTTTTAATAGAAAAATGAAACCCAGATTGCCCCATTCATTCCAGTGGTTTTTGTTCTAGAGCTTTTTTTGTGAGTTGGAATTGTCCAAATTACAATGTATACATGTACCGTGTAGTTGGGACAATTCCACAGTTGGGCTGAACATTTACAAAGTGAGGATATCATTCTTTCCTTAGTAACAGCAAGTTGCGATCTTTTGACCTATGCCTTCATCTTACCTCCTGCGGCGATGTCTTGGTGACCTTGAATATCTTGGCATTTTACCAGATTTTGATTTTTTTTGTCAAGATAAATCTTCAACAAAAACAGGAATCCTGTCGTCTTGTAAGTTCCGGATTGTTGAATTTCAAGCAGCTTGAGGGGTGTCACATAATTGTGTAATCAGCCATACCTGTGAAGAAGGTAAACACTAAGAAAATCATTTTAAAACAGAGAAAATAATGGAAACTGTCAAAACAAACTTTTTTGTGCAGCAGGTCAAAAAGAAGATTGTACTGAAATTATCATGGGAAGGGGTACAAATTTCAATTTACTGAATAGCTGTGAAATGGAGACAAAAGTAAAACCAGGGTTTGAGAAATGGGCAGAGACAGCTAGCCTAGATGGTTTACCTTATGGAGCTAAAAAAAAAGGAGTTTAACTTTGCATGCATGCTGGCTGTACGTGGCTACCCCTCTGTTCTTTCCCCTCCCTAGCTACCTCCCCCAGCCAGCTGCTTTTTTCCGGTCATGGGGGTTTAACCCAGGTGGGGTAGTTATGGAGGACATCCCCCCCCCCCCCCCCCCAGTCCCCATTCCGCCCCCCCCCCCCCCCCCCCCCCCCCATGAACGGGCATGCACTGTCATGACTGTCAGCAGATTCTCCAACTTTGTCTTGAAGTTGAACTCCCCCTGATCTTTACAGTTTACATCAGCAAAGCAAAGGCAAAACATGTTAAGAAAAAGCATGAAAATTCTGTGAAATTAATTTTAAGCCTTGTTATTCAATATGTTACATGTATGTGCCAATAATAAAAACCATTTTCAGTTGAAAAACGTACGTACCTCCGAAGGAGCGCCATGTTTGTGATACTAGCGCGTGTCAAATCTGAACGGCGCCCTCATGTGTCGCTTCGTAGAAATTCAAAGTTTCACCAGCAAGCGCAAAGCCACGCCGCGCGGAATGTTGGCCCGACAAAGCCGCCGAATCACAGCGGCTTATGAGGGGGGGGGGGGGGGGGGGGGGGGGGGACTCAGTCTGATCTATCGCTATAAATAATGCTAAAAATGAACCCCACTTTTGATTGTGTGCCGGCGTCTTTTTTAGGCTTATATTGTTGGCGGCGCAGCATGCACGGCCGTGCCCGTGCCTTGCACGGTTTTTTTGGGGGGGGGGGGGGGGCCGGAGGGAAATTGAAACCAACTTCAGAACTTCAGAAGCTCAATTTTTTTTTCAATTTGCTTGCAAAATACTTGGATGTTGCTTTAAAAATGAGCATAATCCTGCCAGACACTCACGTGCCGAACCAGTACGACCATCGTGTATACGTGACGATATCATCGATGTATCCATATCATACTATAGGACGCCTAGGGCGAAGGGAGTTGTTTTTTGTGTTTGAACTTCGCACATTTTGTTTTAGCTTTATACTATAATTTTAGAACACATTCTCTACAATGTTTTCTCTCTCTTACTCCTGTTACACATGTGGGGAACAAACTCAACTTCGGCCAAATAAAACAAACATGTTTAGCGTCCTGACTTCAATTTTGGGAAAAAAGGAAGGAGGCCCCCTTTTTTCCAAAACGGCCGTCTGACCCATTTTCCAAAACGACCAGCCGGGCTATTTTTCAATGTGGCCGTCAGATTTTTTTTAAAGAGCCGCCACTTGGACTCAGGAAATGAAATACCAACTTTATATGGGCTAGATGCAACAAACAAAGAGGCCAAAATGATGTCACCGTTTGAAATTTAACATTTTTCTTTTTTTCCCAATTAAAAAAAAAGTAAAAAAAAGTAGGCGGCCTCCTTGAAAGGAAGCGGACGGGGACGCTGAACTTCTTTTTACTAGGCCTTAAATATGATTTCTGCACCCCATGATAGACCAGGCTGTATGACAATCAAAGCAGTACAACACAAACAAATTTTCTGGAACGTAGTAACATGGTTATATTTTTACAAGTATGGTTCACTCATTACAGTACTACTAAAAATTGCACTTGACACTAAATGCAATACATGTATTGAATATGCATAAGGGAATAAACATGTGCGTGGCCAGTATTTCTTTTGTTTTTTCTCTTACCCTATTTTGAAGACCCAATCCCTCTCACCTTCTAAAACTGAGAGGTTTTCCAAACGATTACAGATGTAAAGGTATTTGTCTGGTGTATACACGTGCAGTGAAATCTCGATAAGTCACAGCTCAGGGGAATGGGCTCAAATTTTGAGTTAAGCAGAGTTTTGAGTTAGCAAATGGATTTTCTATTCAGCAACAATTGACGGGAGTGAGTTTTTACATCGAGTTAGAAGGGTTTTCGAGTTAGCAGGTTTTGACTTACCAAGATTTCACTGTATATACAACAAATTAAGCATTTTTTTTAGTCTCCATGGGAGTCCTGGGATAAAACAAAAATACTGTCATAAAAGTGTTTGTTGATCGCTTGGTAACCAAAAAGTGAAAAGACAAATTTAAATTTTGACAGCAGAATCTTGCAAATAGTTGAAAATGGTACAAAAATTTGAAATAAATAACTGCAAAGAACAGTGTCAAGCAAAAATGATGTATACATTTAGCAATCTTGACCCATTTCTCAATGCCATGCAACATAGATTTAGACTTGTAAATGAAAATTTAGAAGTGAAGCGAATGAAAAGTAAAAACAATTACAAATGTACAGTCCACAATGGTCCAGTTACAAGTAAATCCTGTTACTTCTGAAGCCCCCTCATAAGAGACAGAAGGGGATTAAACATAAACGGTGGCAAGACTTGTGGCTGATTTAAGATGGAGTTGATTCCAAGGTTCGGTATGGGTGCAATGTTTGGCATGGGTAGAAGGTTCAGTGGTAGCATCTTGACATCAGCAAAGGTCTGGTTAATAACATTGCACTGATTGTTCCTCCCCGCCTGCCCTGATGCTGGCCCACCGGGGTTCTTCTTAACATTCTTCCCTTTTTTGACATTCTTTTCTTTCTTAACGTTCTTTCCTTGTTTTGCTCGCTGAGCTTGCTTTGCTTTCTTCCTTTCCTTTGCTTTCTTCTTTCTCAGTTGCCTAGCTGCTCTCTGTTGTGCAGTCTGAAAATGAAGAAATCAAAATAAAGTTTGTGCTTCAAATCTATACTGTAGTTTAGACATATTAAGGCATATTTATAAAGCTCGCGACTCATTATCACCCTGCTCATTGGGCCAAGTGTAGTTTACAATCTCATTGTGGTACAGTGCTTTTAGTTGCTTTTCCCTGACATGCGCCATACCAAACACTGGATAAGTGGTCACTAACTGCAACATGCTTATCCTGCCAAAACAACATTTTTGCCTTTTCAGTGGGAAATGCAGTGTAAGGCAGAGCATGAAGCAGCAACATTCACTTCAGCCCAACAAAACTATCAACTACGCACAATTTAATTCCTACCTTCTTTATTTCCTGGTCACGCTTGGCCACCTTCTTTCCTTTCTTGCCTTTCTTGCCTTTCCCTTGCTTAGTGTCCCCCTTCTCCTTGTCTTCCAGGCCACGGGTCGATGCAGGACCTCCACCACCTCTGCTACTACCAATGGAGCCCCGCCCACCTCTTGGGTTGAATGTTCCTCTCATGCCACGATTGTTGCCCGGATTATCACCACAGTCGTAGCCTGGAATGTAGTCCTTTCCTAAATAGCCCCGTCCTCGTCCGCCACGGTAGGTACCCTGCATCGCACCACGGTACTGACCGGTCATGTCCTTGTAGCCGTCACCTTCAATTGAGACGCAGTCAGGTGACTTGGAATATTCTTCCTGGTCAGGTGACTTGGACCAGTCTTCTACATCAGGTGACTTGGAACGGTCTTCCTGGTGGTCTGGGCTGCGATGGTAGCCCGGGATGTGCATCTTGCCTAAGTGTCCCCGTCCTCCGCGGAAGGTACCGCGCGCCGACCCGAACATCGCCCCGCGGTTCTTGCCATGGAATTCCACAATTTCCACTGAATCTTGGTCAGGTGGCTTGAAACGGTCGTCCACGAGGTGGTGCTGTGAAAAGAAAGTGATTACAATATAGAAAAAACTTCAAAAGTGGGAGGTTTTATTATCATTTTACATTCCTCTGCACTCTGCTCTACTCTATCAAGATTACCTTCAAAGAGTTGCTTACGCTTCAGTTTTCTTTCATTACCTGTGCCCAGTTTCATAGCACTGCTTAACAGCCAGTTTTGTGCTTACCGAGCCTCCATCTATTTCATAGAGACCGTAAGCAGTAAACACAGCAAATGCATGCTTAACCCCAGAGGAAACATTTCTTAAATCAGTGCCATAACAATTGAAATTTCATTGCACACACAACCGTTAGCACATCCACGTACGCCATGATATAGTGCTTATAAGCAGTAGACCTTAAAATACAAACAACTATTCTTTTAAAAAAAACGGGTCAACTCACATAGTAAAATAACGGTTTCTTTTTTCCCTTGAGTGACTTCCCGCCTTGATTGCCAACAGAGAACGAGCCGTCTTTAGATCCTTTGGAGATGTTCCTGAGCTGCTCTTTAACAGGTCTGTGGTCCCTGGAACACTTGTCCTCAGATTGGTCAGGAGATCGAGAGCACCGATGACGATATGGAGATGTTTTATACCCTTGCACTGGTGAGTGAGAGGGTGAGTGTTCCCTTGACATTCCACTCGTCCTTCTTGACCTGGATCGGGACCGAGAACGGGAGCATGACTGCTCCCTCGACTTTCCACGCATCCTGCTTGACCTCAAAGTGGATCGGGAAGTGGAGCATGAGTGGTCGCTGGACATTCCACTCGTCCTTCTTGACCTGGATCGGGACCGAGAACGGGAGGATGATTGCTTCCTCGACTTTCCACTCATCCTGCTTGACCTGGAAGTGGATCGGGAAGTTGAGCGTGAGTAATCGCATGACATTTGACTCGTCCGCTTGATGAGGATTGAGAATGGGAACTGGAGCCCGAGTGTTTCCTGGACCTTTGAGCCATCCTCCTTGACCTTGATTGGGATCGAGAACGGGATCGTGAGTGTTTCCTGAACACTTCACTCATCCTGCTTGACCTGGATTGGGATCGGGACCGGGAACGGGAGCAGGACAAGCTTCTCATTTGCCCTTGCGGGTCCTGTTGCTCCATTTGCTTCTGGCGTGAATCTAGATCATCCCTCATGTCATGTGGTCCCTTGATGCCTGCCAAGTTATCTGGCGGGTTCTGGTAGGATACCGGAGTCTGAGGCATGTCCTCCATGACAGGGGAAGTGTCCTGGATGAACATTGTTGAATGGTTAAAGTCTGGGTGCGGCTGGACTTCCTTGGGTGGTCCAAACAGATCAAGAGGCTGGACCTGGAACGTTGAAGGCTGAGCTGGGCATTTGCTGCCAAGGCCCATTGGGCCAGCTTTGGAGTCCAGTTGCATATCCCGTTTAGGCTCAAAGTCAAAGCCAAATATAAGAGGCTCTAGCCTTTCGATAAAGTTTTGGGCCTTTGCTGGAGGCAGCTGCAATCGAGCAAAACGTGCCTTCAGCTCCGGCCGGTCAAATATGCCCTTCACGCCCTCATCCTTACTGCGGGATATCTTTACTGAAAAGGGGTCAAATATAGGTCTGATGATCAGAGCAGGGGCAAGCTTGACGTTCACGGTTTCGGCTGGCATGGCTGGTTTGTAGCCCTTACCTGAAGCATCCAGCTGGATGTACGTCTCCTGACCTTGATAGTAATCTTCTATAGGTTTGAAGATCTTATGGTCAAAGGGTGATTTACTGCATTGGGCAGGCTTGGGAGAGAAACGCTGATCATCTGGACATACAGCTTCAGATTTCGCCATTTTGTTCTCCTTGTACCTGTCCTTAGAGGAGCTCTCCAAAGACTGGCTATGCGCAAACTTTAATTGGCTGCCCCCTGTTTTACTACTGTCCCTATCACAGACCCTAACATCTTGGGAGGTCAAAGGTAACTGGTCTTGTGCCCGAGCTCCTTTTCCATACTCTTCTCTGCATACATTATGGTGAGGAAGATGTGGAGGCCCTTCAGTGTCGCTAATTTGGCTTTTTTGCTGTAACTGGATCGCGCCATCTTGAAAGCCTGAGCAGGAGCCAGCCCGCTCCTTCTGTCCGTAATTACCAGTTTCATTTTGTTGGTCGCTGGCCTCCCGCCCACCTTGCTGAGGTGATCTCTTGGGCGACCTGTATCTCTCATTTCGGAGAGAGGGTGACCGAGACCTGGACTTGGCCTTGCTTGTTGATCCACTGTAGTGACGTTTCTCAGGGGTGTAAGAGTGCGAGCCTCTGCCTGCTCGCTGCTTTGAGGAGGAACTCTTACAGCTTGACCCACGGTCCTTCCTTGGTGGGGATTGGGAATATGAGCGCCCCCTAGTGGTCTTCTTGCCATGAGGGTGGTATTTGCGGATACCTCTCAGAGGTGACCTGGATGTGGAACTGGATCTGGATCTGGATCTGGATGTGGAACTGGACCTGGAACTGGATCTGGAACTGGATCTTGAACTGGATCTGGAACTGGAACTGGAACTGGAACTGGATCTGGATCTGGATCTGGAACTGGATTTGGACCTGGACCTGGATCCGGAACTGGATCCGGAACTCGATCTGGAACTGGATCGTGAGCTGGCACTGCTGGAATATGATCTGCATATAAAGACAATAATGGGATTCATTTCTGGAATCCATTCTCAGTTTCTCGAATTGTGATTCTTTGCACTGGTAAAACTCAAATTCTAAGTCTCTATAGTTGGAGTTTTTATCTGCCCATAGGGATACAATGCGTCCCAGGACCTGCAGTGCACAGCATCTGAGGACTCAACTTGTAAGGCATGTCAATATGCCATCTTCAGGAATTATCCCCATAAGGCTATTAAAACACTGAATTTTGCGTGTATATTGTATGATTACCATTCTGTGCTGAAAGTGCTACAACCCAAATGTTCCACTTAATGTTTTTGCGCTAAGACTTACACAATGTCTTTCCTTGGTGGGAGTCGGGAATAGGAGCCCCCACTAGTGATCTTCCTGGCATACTTGGGATAACTTCTCAGAGGTGACCTGGATCTTGACCTAGATCTTGACCTGGATCTAGACCTGGACCTGCTGTTGCTGCTTGTATACGATCTGCATAAAAAGACAAATGTGTTATTATTTCCTTTCTGAGCTGCTCGGATGTCATATCATTTTGTGGCGACAGATCAACTCAGCATATGCAAAAAATATAATAGTGATGATTTTTTGGTTTCACTGATTCTTAAAATCTGCAAGTGATGGCTTTTGACCTATACCGTTTTCTTACCTTCGACTGCGATGTCTTGGCGACCTTGACCTTGAATATCTTGGCATTTTGCCAGCTTGTTTTTCCAAAGTATATTTTCTCATCAAAAACTGAAACCATTTGGCATGTTTGGTCTTGTCTGTAGGTAAGTTCCAGACTGGTCATGCTGGTTATGTCATGCAGCTTGTTGAGGAGGGGTGTTGTAATCACCATAACCTGTGAGGAAAAAATTACAGACGAAAAAAAAAATCATTTCAAAACGGAGAAAGAATGCGTCATAAACATGATATTGATAAATAATGTTAGTCGAATAGACAGCTGGTCAAATTTAAATTCCAGGGGGAGGGGGTAAAAAAACAACAATAGTTGATCATCTGGCATGTCTGGGGGGGGGGGGGAGTTCAAAAAGAGGAGGATGAGGGCCTTTTTATTGAACAATTGGAATGGGGAGGGGGTACTCCTAGAACTATGAGGCTCCACGTAGTGCCGCCTCATCAGTTCTAGGAGTGGGGAGGGGGAGGGGTAGCGGCCTCAACTGACAAGCTCACTAACCAACGCCGCGACATATGCAATTACGGCACTGAACATGCTGAACGCATTCCCAAACTTTCATGACTTTAAATTCCCCTAACCTTCACACTCAGCATTGGAAAATCATGTTAAACTATCCCCATGGTTAAACAAAGGCATGAACATTCATCCAAATTCGTTTAAAGCTGAATCGTTGAACGTGATGCAAAATCAAAAGCATGTTTATGAAGTGAATTCGACGTACCTCGGAGGTCCCGGTCCCTGCGCCATGTTGTTCCCATATTAAATGTCAATGGCGCCCTCATGTGTCGCTTCGTGGAAATTCTAAAGTTTCATACAAGTACATGCGGTGCCGCAAAACACTTTCCCTTTTATTTTGGGAGCGCGGGGAGTCGACATCAAAGTTGACACAAGCCAGTCCCTATGCAAAGCCGAATCCATGATTATTACAAAGGGGTCTGATATTGAGCTTATTTTTCACTGGCCCCTGGGGAGTCAGTCATGTGGAATGTTTCCCGAGCTTTCTACGAGACCGATAGATTTAGTAAGCCTTCTCAACTAATTATAATACGCTTGCGTACGATGGTAAAATAATTATCCAGAAACGTGAATCAGAAACTGATCGTAACGACTTGATTGAATACAATTAAGGAAAGAACATTCACTGCTGGGGTTAAAGAGTTAATGTAAAATGTCAGGCTAGGAAGGACTCGAACCGCAGCCGACCTAACAGTGTTGATTATGTTTCACGCTCATGGCTTTGGGTATAATGACTTTACTCAGACGGCCGTGTTTCGTTACGGATCTGAAAAACACGTTAAGTTATAGGATCCTACGAATATCTCTGACCACTGTGAAAAAGCGCAAACTGAACTATGGGCACATTTCACAATCATCAGGACTTGTTGAGACGATCCTGCAAGGCACCGTGCAAGGAGGAAGAAAGAGAGGCAGGCAGAGAAAGAGGTGGGAGGACAACATCTCGGAGTGGACAGGCCTGACGCTGAGTGACTCCCTGCGAAAGTCTGAGGATCGAAAGGGATCGAGGAAGCTGGTTGACAAGTCTTCAAGCTTAAGTTCAAAGGGTGCCCCACGGTCAGACAGACTATACGGGATACAATAGCAAGAAGAAACATTGCGGCCAGGCCGCATTCTTTGGTATTTTTCCCCGCTAAGTTTACTTTTTTTTGAGACACTTCAAAATGAAAAAAAATTGTTGGGACACCTCCATGCACCAATCCGAGCCCACCCGCCGCCTTTAAATTTCAAAAGTTCAGAGGCCCCTTCCCGGGCCCCGACCTTCTATTCGCTACTGCGTCGATCGATCACAACGCAAAGCAAAATGGAATTGTGGTTCTTCCGAGGCTAATTCCCGCACGTTTTCGGATGCAAATTTTGATCCACCAGTCGTAATTATATGCGACAGGGAGAACATGTGGACGTACGTATGCAGTACTAGCCGCATTATCAAGTCAAGCATATTTTTGCCAGCTAAACATGAAATTAAATGGAAGAGCGCGCGGAGCTCGCCATGCATGATGTAGTGTCTCCATGGTAACAAGCTGGTTACTGCCGGGATAAAGCAACTCGCTGTCAACTCAACGGTGAAGACATCTCCACGCTACAAATAGTGCGGGCATAAAATAATGTAAAACACGGAGCTAAACTTGAAAATTGCAAAATCTTGTCGAATCGGAAATTATCAAAATCTGTCTGGACACATCACGTCATGCAGCTCTATAAAGACGGTCGAGTCCAACTGACAAAAATAATCATCTGATGCGCGATGTGATTAATAATCCGTTCGAATTTCACACGTGTACCCCGGTTATATAAACGTGAATACACTATATTTTGGGGGACATTTTCTTGGACTATATTTCATTTGAATACAATTAAAACTCGCAATACGGGCATGCATAAAAGTCAATTAGTCAACAAAATAATGCGCGTCGAGTTAATTGTTGAATTTGCTTGGCTGGTAAAAGCCGAACACATCTATATGGTTCAGGCATCCTTCCTCGTTATCAGCAGATTTCCTCATTTCACTTCACACATGGCATTAAAATGTGAAAAACACTTTATAAAGTCTTGAACAGCTTGAATTTTACCCTTTTCTTGCTGCTTCTAAGACAAGCATGAGGCTATACCTCCATGTTCTAAGTTGCAGGCATGATTGTTACCCAAATCCAGCAACTGCATTATAAATTTTAAAAACAAACCACCGATACAAAATCTTGAAAAATGCAAAAAATAATGTTTTCACAGTATTTTATTCCTCTCCACTATGTTACAATAAGTTTACAGTTCACATTTAATATTTCAACAAAACATCTTCACGCAATTTTCTGACATTTCAAACAAAACATTAACTGTATGATTCTGGCACGAACTGAACTCCGAATCCACGAATGCAGGTGGGTGCTTTTAACAACACAATACGGACCAGTAACAATGCTGATGCTTATACTTTGATGTGATTTTCTTTCACCTAATACATGGCCTTAAAAGTACAAATTAATAATTAAAACAAGAAAAACAAATACATCCGGGACCTGCATTGGTTGTGTGTCCAATCTTAAACATGCTTACAGTTGAACAACTCAGACTGGGATACCTGACTAGCCACAATATTAATTAATCTTATTTATCAGCCACCATTTTCCAAGTGAATCATCTGAACTATTTTCCCAGTATAAAATGGCAAGTTGGAACAATTCTGGAAGATCAATAACTTTAAACTTATGACCAAAAATATATATTTCTTTGCATTTCGTTTTAATTATGCACATGGGAATAATCACAGATTTTAATTTACATGTACATGACATTCCCACTGTTAATACTAAAGCTTTTTCTGCAATTTTAAATGCTAAATGCTTTTAACAGGAAGAAATTTCACTTAATTGACTTAAAATCAAAGACCACACTTTTCAGCAGTTTAGTGAATTGATTCATAGATAGAGAATCAAGGGGAAAAAAGTAAAGTATTTCAGAACTGACGGCAATTAACAAACAAGTGTTTGCAAATGTTCAAGTAAAATATGATTTGAAATTAACTTGACATGTAAATAAATAAACTCAGACTTCTAATTACGGGGAAGCATCTCAAAACTCCACACTTCACACACAGTGCGTACGTTTCAATACGTTTCTCAATGTGTTAACTTCGAGTTCAAAGCCTGGTTCCCAAAGTTAACACATTATGTACAAAGTCTAAACAATGTTCTCAAACAGGAACTTTTCGTTCCAGGCTGTTCCAAGTAGGAACATTTTGTTCCCAATGTGTTAACTTCAAGTTCAAAGCCTGGTTCCCAAAGTTAACACATTATGTACAAAGTCAAAACAATGTTCCCAAACAGGAACTTTTTGTTCCAGGCTGTTCCAAGTAGGAACATTTTGTTCCGATAGAATCATGCAAAATGTTGTAAGCAGAGTTTTGACGCACTCCCTAAGATAACAGTTTTTTATATTCACATTATAACAGTAATATAGTATACAATATAGTTTGCATATGTGCCCTGATAGCTAGTGCATATTATTTTGTGTGAGAGAATAATATATTCCACTTCATTGAATATAAAACAAGATCATGTTATAGCACAGAACTGAATCTTAAACATTGAATCAATAATATGAGCACTTTTTTTTATAACTTCCTGAGTGCAAACACAAAGTACAATTTTTAATGTCACGAATTAATGCTTGAAATATACACCGTTAATATTTCTTTAAAACGTAATCGATTCAGAAATGCTCCTCAATGTTGTAACACAATGCTGATAATAGTTTAAATTAACAAGTATTAATGCTATAGCTGTAGCACAACTATGAATAGTGATGATTATGATGTACAAAATAAAATAGCAGAATGACAAATTTTGAAAGCCACAACACAACAACAACTGTTCAAAAACTCCAACTCAAAGGAACAGTGTGGAAAATAAGAAACAACAAAATAATAATAATAATAATGTCTAAACATTTTCAATATGCTTTGGTCTCAGTGCTTTCAAGGTAAGGTGGCATATAATTAGATTTTCAAATGAAGCATGAATCTAGAATGACGCATCAAGTGAATGTACATGCACATATACACACTGAAATCGAAAAACAACTGCTTTTTAAGATCGCTGCGCTGGCCGCGGCATTAAATGCATTACGCGGTGATTACAGGAAAATCACAGCAATGCGCGGTTTTCACAATACACAGTAGTTGGAATTGGTGTCTTCCTAATGAAATCATGGCCTGGAATTGCTTGTCTGTCAAACACAATACACTATACACACCGATACTTCCTCCATCGTGAACACAATTACACAAAAGAACAGTCCTGTTACATGACATTTGTTTTTAGAAAGACTCAATTTGTTTCCACAGTACAAACATACTTGTTCCATCGTTGTGGGGACCGCACGATGAGTGATAGTTATTGTGGGGACCGAAGACGCTGTGAGGACAGCAGAAAGTCCTCACATCTCGTCCCGAACTCCCCAACAATAATAAAAACACTGATCCCTCATGGTCACCGTCAATAAAGTTATCAAGTCTACAACTTTGAGCACACACATACATCCTGTGCAAAACATGAACTTTTTAAATTTATATAAGGCACGTGCATCTGAATGAGACTTGTTTTAACACAGAAAAACAAAACAAAACATACCGATCAATTTTAATAAGCTCCGCCCCGTGGTATTACTGACCAATCACAGCCGTGATGCAGTACGCGGGGGGCCTAATGGATCGTTCCATTCTGCTCCAAGTTAAAAAGCAATCTCAAAAATGCAAAATGTGATTAGACCAGAGCTTCAACTCACATATAATATGAGTAGGTACAACCAAATTAATGGACGGTGCGTAAGGGCAAAATCTCAACAAATGTACACAGATAACGACGGTATTTTTTTTCTTTAAGTGCATAATATGTTACATGGACGGCCTGATGCACAATTAAACAATTATATTGTACCTTTAAATGCTGTGAGTACTAACTAATGTTAAAATAACATTTTTAAATCAACCATTTCATAATATTTACACTATGTTCATTAAAATAGTTTGCTTATTGAATACATTGTACACAGTGCAGCTTTCTGTTGATATTTAAACACGTGAAAGCTAACAATTGGGTCCCTGGCTTTTATGAAAACAATGTAAGAAAAATGTTGAGGGTACTATCCACCCTAATGCCTTCTAAAGATTGTAAAATTATGCCAAGTTTTGCAGATTAACTTTTTTTCAATGTCGCATACTCTCACTCGATCCTGACATGCTAGTTAAACCATACATTCAAGTAATCATAAACATATTTTGTACAAACAATTACGAAATGATGAAAATTCAGCTCCGGACATTTTCAGCTTCATGGCTTTTCCAAGTGTATGATGTTGGTCACTTTCAGCCAAAAGAACAAAATTATGAAAACATTTTTCCTTAAAACTATTTAAATGAATATATATATATATGTTATAAGTTGTGTATTATGTACATGAAAATGCAAAAACATTTAACAGTAATAATTCAATGGCTCGCTGAAATACACCAGCTACATTCATTATGACATTGTAACATTGAGTGCATGAATACATTCATGAATACAGTGCAAACATTTCACTATTTCCACGGATATAGATCTCTATTTGAAAGTGCGACCGCAAACGTGATTTGTTCTGCAACATGCTTTTACTTTACATCTCTTTAATATTCTTTGGCCTTCTGTCACAACCAAATTGTTAAGCAAAGAGTGCTGTAATGCATAAACATCTTTTACAAATTTCGTTTTGTTTTTCTGCTAAGTGTAACAATGTCATAATTTATGTAGTAGCCGTCGCGATGCCGTTTTCAGCGGGCTTCTGGGCGGATGCACATCGCGAGGTTGGCCGCGGCCGCGAGTGACTCTTTCGAGGCGATTTGGGTGGGGTGGGCGTGTACGTGCGTGGGGTGGACCTGTCCGAGTCACCATTCTGCAGAGGCTGGTCCTCCTCTGACTTGATGCCAGAATCCATCTCCTTGCCGGAGTCCACCCTCCGAGCTGGGGAATCATCTGAATCGTCTCCGTTGATGTTCTGAGCCGGTTCCTGATCCTCTGCTTGATTCTCGTTTTCATCGGTCGCTAGGGGAGCCTCATCTTCATTTGGGTTCTCTGGTGGAGATTCATTGTCATTGAAGTCCTTTGGATCATTGGACTCTCCATTCTCATTTTCATCAGTCATCATCGTAGGAGCAGCCTCATCTTCGTTTTGTTTCTCTGGCGGTTCAGTGTCTTTGGTGCTGTCAGGAGCAGTAGACTCCTGATCCTCATTTTTATTGGCCGTTGTCAAAGAAGCATCATCATTTTTGTTTGGGTTCTCCGAAGAAGGTTCACCATCTTTGGTATCCCTGAGATCATTGGACTCTCCATTCTTGGTTTCACCAGTCATCAAAGGGGCAACCTTACCTTCCTTTTGATTCTCTAAAAGAGATTCATTGTCTTTGGTATCCTTTGGATCATTGGGCTCTTGATTCTTCTTGTCATCGGTCATCATGGAAGAAGTAACCTCATCTTGATTTTGGTTCCCTTGAGGAGGTTCAGTGTCTTTAGTGTTCTCAGGATCAAAAGGCTCTTGATTCTTATTTTCATCAGTTGTCATTGCTGAAGGCTCCTCAACTTCATTTGGATTCTCTGGAGGAGATTCACTTTCCTTGATACTATCAGGATCAATGGATTGTTGATTCTCATTTTCATCTTTGTTACGATTCTCTGGTGGACTCTCATTATCAATATCCTGTGGATCATGATGTTTCTCCCCTTCGATTGGCTCTTCAAATGTCTGTGGCTTCTCTTCTGAATTCTCATTTTTGTTCCCTGCTTCTAGCATCTCAGACTCTTGACTATTACTGTTGGCATTTGGAGCAGGTTCCTGATCTGGCTCAGGCTTGTCAGATTTCTCTTCTATTGGCTCCTGAAATAACTGATGCTTCTCCTCTGAACTACTCTCTTTTTCTTTCTCTGCTTCTATCTCTAAATCTGTAGCGATGTTGTTGGTGTTTTGAGCCTGTCCCTGATCTTGCTTGGTTTCGTTAGGTTTTTCCTCTTCTTTTGGATCCTCAGGTGACTGTTTTTCGTCTTCAGAAATGAGCTCATTTTGTTTTCCTGGTTCTTGTTTCTCAGCATCTTCATTTATTCCTTGCCCAGCATCCTCCTTATCTCTGTGAGGTTCATCCTCACAATGACTCCCTGGTCCTTCTGCCTTGTCAGCAGCTCCTTGCTCTTTGGATGAATCTTCTTCCTTAAACTGATGGTCATCATCTGCAACGTGTTCCTCGGGCTGAGGAGTATCATCTGCATCAGCTGGGTGATTGTCATCATAAGCCCCGCCTGTTTCAGCATCCACTTCATCTGCTGCAACATCTTTGTTGTCAACACTGGCAGCAGCGTCATTCTCCTTGACCGCAGAATTATCGCCTCCATCTTTATCAGCATTTTCCTCTATCTTATCTCCATCATCTGTCTTGTTATCCTCTTCACTCTTCTTGTCTGCATCCTTGACAGCTGCCTCTTCAGAGTTGATCCTTACGGAAGATGATTTTGAGCCATTGTTAGGCTCATCGATGGAGTTCGCCGGGGTAGGTGGACCCGGACTCGGGGATTGTCGGGGTGGGGTAGTAGCTAAGGGTGGAGAGCCCGGGGGTGGGGAAGTCAGGAGTGGGGAAGTAAGGGGTGGGGAAGTCCGGGGTGGAGATTTCAGGCGTGGCGGGGAGGTCGGTGACAGTGAAGTCTGGGGTTGTGGGGATTGAGCTGGGGAAATCTGGGCTGGGGAAGTATGGGCTGGGGCAGTTTCCAATGGAGGAGTGGGGGGTGGAGTCGCACGAGAAGGGGGCTGGGTTATCTGAGAAGTGGGAGGGGTCTGTGAAGCCGTTGGGCTCCCATTTGGGAGGGGCATCTCGGGGGACTGTACAGGGCTTGAAACTGGCAGAGGAGGGGACTGGCCTGTCTTGTCAGAGTTATTAAGCAGCTGTAAGAACAGAAGAAAAAAAAAGAAAAAATTAAATTGCATAAATTTGTTTAATAGCACTTTAAAAAACGTGTTTGTGAAGAAAAACGAAGCTTTGAAAATGAAACAATTTTCACATCAAAACAAGCGAATATGTAACAATTATGAATGAAATGAAATACAGAACTTTTGTTAAAAAAGCAGACAAAGCGAACGTCAGCAAAATGTTAACAGAACGGGTAGAATGAAGGCCTACGACCCGGAGAAAAAGACTGAAATTAAAAAAAACAAAGACAGAAATAACCTATTAGCACAAACCATGGATGCCAACTCCAACCGTGAAAAAATTCAATTTTGCTGGAACATTATTTTCAAGGTGTTCAAAAATAAAAATGCTAAAAATAAAACTGGATTGATGATTTGATAATCTCGGCGACTGAAGATTGCTTAATTTTTGAAGAATCGTTCTCTTGCAAATGTCAAAGGTATGTAATTTGTTCTCCATCCCCCCACCAACTGAACCAGCGTACTGAATTTGCAAGTGATCAAATACCAGTATCTATTTGAATGAACTGCTTTAGATATAGCAGGAAAAGAAGTTGGCATCTTAGGAGAAATGTCTTCAAGACGATCCCCCCCCCCCATATTTTTTGTCAGTGAAGAAGTGAAAACAGGAAGAATGATTTTTTTCAGGTAAGCGCTCATGTACAATGAGTTAATTACATTGTAGACAGACAACACACAATGAAACAAACAGACAGACAACACACAATGAAACAAACAAACAGACATTACAATGCATGCAGTTAGTGTGTCATTTGTGAAGTGTGTACGCTTATTCTTTGAAAAACTCTTTGGAAGTTAAAAGCCCATTCTCCATTCATACAGAAAAAATATTTTTCTCAAGGAAATCCACAGTGAAAGGTTTTATAAAAGCTTCTTTGTAGACTTGATCATTAAATATATTGACCCCAAAAATATTCCTTCTGTTTCACAGAAAAAAACAGTAAACTTGGAAAGAATTTGTTAGTGGCAAAAATAAATAAAATAGAATAAACAGATTCTTAATTTACATTTTCCTGTAAAAAACAAAAAAGTATTTGGTTTTGGTTTTTGCATTTTTTTTAAACCCAGCTTAAATTTGAGAATATTTTCATCGGATTTAAGTTTTTAAAATTTAAAAAAAATAAAAGAAAAATTTGTAATTTTTTTGCCCGTTTTTGAGGGGTTTTTTTAGGTGGGGGTTGGGGGAATTAAAGAGAAAAATTGTTAGATTTTTTTTTTCAATTGGCTGATTTTCATTCCCCCGACACAATGAATCAAAACAACTGAAGTATGCTACACATTCATAATACATTTTATCCTCATCAATAAGTACATGTAGCACCATTTACAGAGATTTCAATCCAGCCCCTTGATTTTAGAAAGGGTTAAAAATAACTCTCTAAAACATCTTTTCGGATGCATTAAGAGATTGAGAGGCAGGGGAGGAAGCACTTAAGGAGGAAGTAGCAGATCTTCCACAAAAAAAAGATTAAACAAAAAGAGAGAGAAAAAAAAAAGAAGCTTTTAACAGAAGATTACTGCACTATAACTACAGAAGACTGTGCAGCATTCTACAAATGCATGCGCATGCACGAGACAGATATTGTTAGTGAGTGTATTAGTCACTCTATGATTTAGCCAAAAACGGAAAGAAAAAAAATAAGTGTTAATTAGGCAAAATCTGTGAATTTTCCAATTTTTTTTCTCCATTTTTTTTCTTTGAACTCACCCTCATCAGTCAAAAAGGCAACAGGCTGTGGTGGATGACAATGTGGGAGTGGAATAGGGAAAGGGATACAAAGCAAAATGCATGCAGTTAACAACAATTGTACTTAATTTCGTTGTGTAATAAACCACTGAACTAATGTAAGTCATGAAGTTTGTGGTAGCATGATGTACGCTTATAATGTCCTCAACGGTAAGAACGAGAGTTTGGGGCGACCAATGGGAGAGACATACAGATTGCTGTCGACGCCCCCCTGACACTCACGCAGGGGTACCCACAGGGTGTGGCTGTCATAGGGCTCTCAAAAGTGGTACAAAAATTGCCCACCCTTTGTTCTCGCATAACACACTGCTACACAAGCTACCAGTACATTAATGTGTACCACAAACTTTATGACTGGTTGGCTGAAAGTCCACCATGCAAACCTAAATCTTACTGTGACTCGGTGTCTTATTTCTCGGTGTCTTCATGCCAAAATGCAAACAAATAATTGTGCTCGGTGCTACTTTCTTAATCCTTTGTTTTCCCCACATGCAAACTCATTTAAAGTTGTACTGTACAAGACTTGTACGGAAGACTTAGCAACAAACTGGCACTGATTTCTGTTTTGGTCATTTTGCAAGAAATTAAAAAGTCAGTCACAAAATAAAAGTTGAAAAAAGTAAAGCAATAAAAAGATTAATTGATAATAAAGTACATATACCCCAGAGAAATTTCAGAAAACCTACTACATGTATATGCCTGTAATACCGGTAGCTACTGGAGACTCCCGTTTAAATTTCAAAACATATCAAGAAATTCAAGAGCTACATGTACCTGTATAACATGTAAACAAGAGAGGACTACCATGTATGTGCTACAGGTAGCACCTAGCCAAATACATTGGCTCTATACCTTAACTCTTATACCATAGCCTACACAATTGATATAATCTGCTATCTTCTCTGCATATTCACAAAGCTGAATTCTGTTTCAAAAGTTGAATTGAATCGTAGGCCGTGTCCATGCCCTATACTTGATACAAATGTTACCATTTGGCCCCTATTAAACATGTTCATGTTCTTGTATATTGATCAGCCTGTGTTGCCTTATTTTTAATTTGTCCCTCAAAATCTTTTCAGCTATCACGCAAAGCTTTTGCAAATCAAATTTTCAGCCAACTTCAGATGCAGGCAACTTATCGTTACCATTACTTTTGTTTGTTTTTGCCAGCGCTTTTCCCTTAAGCTGCTTACAGTTTCTTTCATTAAATTTGACGTTGCATACACCGTACCGTACGTCAATCACGAACGTCCTGCAGTAAAAAGACGACCGTAGACTTCTGCCACTTTCGCATTTGCAAATGGATGCTATTCCCAAGTGGCTACCTTGGGCAGTGAACATTTCTCATTCTCTTGTAAAGCTTTTATAGTTTGGTTTTTTTTTAGTTTTAGTATGGAGAAGACTTTAACTTCACATCTATGCTCAATGTGCTTCCTGCTTGCCACTAAGGAGGCAGCTTTCAGCCGGAGCTAAATTCTCTCATCCCCCCCCCAAAAAAAAAGGAAAATCAAAGACAGTCAGAATTAAAGGCAAACTGCAACATTATTTCTAGTACATACATTGTCCGCAATGCCAATTGATGGATTTTGGGGCTGTACATTTTCAAATAATTTAGTATGCGATAAGTCAAACGTGGATTCGATGGAATAGTAGAATACATTCCAAATGCCGCCGATCAAGTTTCCATGTTTTCAGTCAAAATTGCCTGTTTCAGTCGTACATTGCATCAGCCAATCAGGAACAGTGAGCGCGCAACCTGTTTAAAATTGGCATGCGCTGAATTGAGAATTAAACTGATCACAATCTGTGTACGCCTGTCAAAAATTGGCAAGGACCTTAAAAGAAACAAGAACATACGGCCTAAATGTAAATGTGTCAATATAATTTTTCAAGGCAGCTGAACAGCTGATATGCACAATAACATCACAAGACATTTTCCTCAACTTCTCAAGACATCCACATTGTCTTGGGAAATATTTGGCATATTTGGCACAGCCTTACGGTAGTTGATTTCAACTTTAAACTTTGTCTTTCTTTCTCACTGTGAAATATGTATTCTCCTATCGTTCCATGAACCCACGATAGTTTGAACATCAACCGTCTTTATTACGAAATGCAGCGGCTTTGAATTAATGTCCTTATTCAATTATGAACAAATTGGAAATTAAATCACAGGCAAGTTTCAATCAAATTCGAAATCAAAAAAGAAAAACCTTAAAATTATAGTGCCGGAACATTTTGCCTGATGAGAACGCCCATATTTTGCCTGATGAGAACGCCTAATAGGAACGCATACTCTGATCTCTGGACAGCAGGTGTTATTTGTGGACCTTTGATTGCAACCCTTAATTGACACTCACATTTTGCAGCTTTTTTGCAGACATTTTCTTGGAACTCTCGCCAAAATACTGTTCAGCATTCATAATCTGAATAATCTTTGCATGTCCAAACAACTTGTTTTTAGTTCTTTTGCATTTAAATATATGAAAGCAATTCTCCCAAAAATTGAGATTGTGAAGAAATTTTCCACTAAACATGTTTTGTATTTCTTGCTTCAAATGTTTAATATTTTCTATCAAACATGTATTTCTATCATGCCTCCATCCACTTTAATGATTTCAATATTTCCTTCTAACTACCATGCCTTCTAACAGTTTATTATCTTGCATTTGATGACATAACTTTTACTCAAGTTACTAAACAGAAAAAAAATTCTTTTCATGTCAAACCTTCTTTATATTTTGGACAAACTTAGACTTAAATATTTGTGTAAACCTTAAGGTTTTAACCACAAATTCTGGAAAATTGTAACTGAATTGTTTAAAAATATTTTAACCTCCTAGCAAGACAGTTGAACTTGTCAGTGTTATGTTTTACTTTTCCAAACCTATGTGTACATAAATAACCTATGAACTATGACCTGCCCTGTCCTGACCTACGTACCTAGTCCTCTCCACTGCTAGCCTAGACTGCTTCCCCTGCCCTGAAATTGCTGCCCTTAACTCACTTGCTCAGCATCCTTTGGTTGAGATGGTGTTGCCTCGCGAGGTGGTGGAGTGGGTTCAAGAGGTGGCGTTGCCTCGCGAGGAGGAGGTGTTGGATCCAGAGGTGGTGTTGCCTCGCGAGGTGGTGGCGTTGGTTCCAAAGGTGGCGTGGCCTCACGAGGAGGAGGTGTTGGATCCAGAGGTGGTGTTGCCTCGCGGGGTGGTGGCGTTGGTTCGAGTGGCGGTGTCGCCTCCCGAGGTGGTGGTGTAGGCTCAAGTTGTGGTGTCACCTCGCGAGGTGGTGTTGCCTCACGAGGTGGTGGTGTTGGATCCAGAGGCGGCGTCGCCTCGCGTGGTGGTGGCGTCGGATCCAGCTGTGGCGTTGCCTCGCGAGGTGGTGTTGCCTCACGAGGTGGTGTGGCCTCACGAGGTGGCGGTGTTGGGTTCTGAGTTAGGAACTCATTGACCTCAGCTTCTTCTTCGTCAACCTCTTCAGCAGCAATTTGATCAACCGGAAGATCAACGGCAGTTTCATTGGTTTCTTCCACTTCGGCCGCCCTGGCTGTCTCTTTGCGCTGCTCAGATGCTTTGAAAACACTGTTTGGATCTGGAAGATAAACAAATTGACAGAAAAAATATAACTTAAAGGGTGCTTATGGTATTGCTTTATACGAATGTCTTTTTACAAAAGTACTTCACAAATTTTATCCCAGTTCATCAGGTCATGAGAAAAGTTTACTGCAATTTGCGATCAGAGCACTCTCTTGTCTTTACAAGTATCTATTAAAGTACATGTATAGCACGGTTTAAGAGAGGCAGCTGCTTAATGCCTCTCTCCACCCAGGAGTATAAATGGGTACCTGTGAGGGTAGAGACAAGATTGCACTGATCTTTACAATGTACCTGCTTCAGAAAACTGGTCTCATTGCCTAATGAACAGGGGTAATAATTGTGAAGCGCTTTAAGACCTCCAATGGTATTGGACCAGAGGGCTCCATAATGAAGAACACTGCACACCATGTTTTTCCTTTGAATAAATTTATACCTTCGTAGTCTAGCGATTCCTTGGTGTGATCTTCTTTCTCCCGGCTGCGTTTGACCATGGCTGGCTTGTGGTGGAACACCTCCTCAGCCTCCTTCTGATCGGCCGTCTTCTCAGCCTTGGGGCGTCGACTCTTGGGTTTCTGCTCAGACTGGGCGTTGGCAGCGGGCTTGGGCGGGGCTTGGGGTTTGCGGGGAGGGGCCTCCTGTTTAGGTGGGGGAGGCCTGGGCTCCCGTTGTTGGGTAGGTTTCTGGGTTTCTTTAGCTGGAGAGGGCTTGGCTTTTGGCGGAGGTCTTCTGGGGACTGGTGGAAGCACTCTGAAAATTAAGAGCGGGACAAAAAAGAAAATTTGTCTTAGAGAGAATGTAAAGAATGGCAGAAAAGGTGTTGACGAAACTGAGGGAAGGGCATAGTGTGCACAATCTTTGGCACACTCTCAACACACTGGTGAATTACATTCTGTACCGTCCAACATTTTTGTTTTTATAACACTTGTAAGTTATTATACAGTTTGGATTAAAGGAATAATTACATAAAAACCCAATACATGAACATGAGCATGTCTGGAATTAACATGTAGATGAACATGTTGACCAAAATAGACAGGTACATGTATTTTGTCACTATTTCCAACATGCTAATGACAATTTACCTTAGGTGTTTTTTATATAATGAATTGCAAGTTGTACCGGTGTTTCCCCCACATGGACACACAGTACATGTACCGTATAATGTTTGTGGACAACACATACATGTACATGATTGTATTGGTACTATGTACTTTTAAAAGAATAATACAAATAAATTCAATTCAATGAAACGGCAAAAATCTTGAAAAAATAAGAGGAAATGCTTTGAAAATCTGATTGACGTCATCATCTCATAAGAATGCTGAGTACATGGCCGGTACATGTACACCCTGCCCCCAACACCATTGTCCCCTGAGAAATAATTTGTAAACCAAACAAATAAATTAGCATCATCGGCCTTTCAGCCTTTCGTACTACGCTGCCCTGGGACTTATTTGCAGGAGATTTATTTATCATTTTTGAATGAAGGCCAGTCCCAGAACAATCATTCTCTTTCGTCTCCTTTCATACTTTTCTTCAATTACATCCCACAAAGCTGGAGATTGCGGTTTAAGAAGGCACGATTCCTGCAGGATTGCTTCAGGGATGATGGAAATGCAAAGCTTATTTTGGCCGTGAAAATCTCCAGTAGAGTGAAAGCTCATCGCCGCCCTGCCTCACCTTAATCATCAACATCATAATTAGTTTGGAAGATTTTCTGAAGATTTTCATACGATCGTGTACGTAATTTCCTTGGAATGGGCCACAAGGGCAGTGTATTTGATAATAGAGGACTCTCAGGATGATGCGGGAAGCTAGAGTTCTTTGCAATTGCCAGATGTTTGAAATCAAACTTTCACAAATAAAAATTGTCAACATCCATCACAAAAATAAATTTTCAAAATCCATCTTTACAAAAATACATTGATGGGCTCCCAATTAGTCAATGTTTTTGTTCATGGTGCAATTAATTGTCACATATAAGACATTACAAATTTATGTCATAAAACTCCGCAAGAAATGTCATTCAGGACTCCTTTTTTTTTTGCAAATTTTATGTCCTTTTTTTCTCTCCCAAGAAATACCGCAACATTTCCAAACATTTCAGTAAATTATCTCAAAAATTGATAAGGCTAATTTTTATAAGCACATGATTTTTTTCTCATACATATATTTTTGGACCATGCTTGATTTAGTCAATAACTACAGAAACAGAAGCCTCAATATAAAAAGGACGATGCCCCTCTCAAGTCAGTAATATTTTATACGGCGCTAATGACTGTCATTATAAACTGAGTGGCATCCCTGGCTCCATCATTAAGGAGCCCTCATTAAAGTAACGAGCAAAGTACCATTTTTGTCGGCTACCGACGGTACATGCATATCCTCTGGTTCATTCTTAATGGCTGCATGCATGACATCCAACAATTACGGCTTTAAAGCTTAAAAAAATTATACGACCAAATTAAACATTACACGTACTACTGGTATACACCGGTAGTAGCAGAGTGCATACAGAATATACAATGAGCTGCTTTTTCGCTCGCAAGAATATATGTAGACTTTTAAATCTATAAATTACCATCTGACTAATTACCAGTACATGTGCTCACTAAATGCCATTGCGAAAACAGGGACGTGGAAATGAACAGGCAAAGATGTTTTAATTTGCAATTTGTTCCCAAAGCCAACAGATGTTGCTACTAGAAATCATTGATGTTTCTTTCTCTGTAAAATAATTACAGTAAGCTGGAAAAAGTGCAGAAACATGTATTTAAGCATGATCGCAAGCAAAACAACTTCTTCCTAATTACTTCAACATGTGCATCACTGAATTTAATGAAAGAAGATGCTGTTGTTTTCTCAGAAGGATAAAGTACGTAGGCGTATCTAGATCTACAATGTATCATTTTTTGCTATTGGAAGCAAAACAACATCTTATTAATTCTGCATGTGGACTGATGGATTTCGCATTATCGTCTGTGATTATACAGGATCAAAAATAGGGCTAAACAAGACATTGCATAAATGCAAAGGGCACTTGAAATTTCAGACAAAAATGTGTCTGCAAGCTACCGATACATGTACACGTATTATTCATGGATACTGATTCAGAGCCTTTAAGGCCTTTTTCTTTGAGCAAAACAATTTCCAGCAGATTCAAAGTAAAGCTTTTCATCTAGGCAATAATATTGGATTTGGAAAGAAATCTGTCAATTTTTGTCCCTAGACAATTCTTCATATCAAATCATTGCAAAAACAAGATTTTTGTTTGAGATTTTCCTGTCATGAATAAAGCTTCTTTCCGCATCTTTTGACAATTTTGTAATCTCATTTTAAACAGGAGTTTATATTAAACACATCACACCGCACCGCAAATTTTAATATCAACTGAAGGGATAATCTAATATGAACATGTAACATAACTGGAAAAACAAGCGCTGTAAATGTGAAAGCAATCAAGGGAAAAACAGTGTGCATAATGCAAAACAAATTGCACTCAGGGAATGTAACATTGCAAAAAAAAATTCTTTCATTGTACATCGTCACTGATATATCCATAAGACCACGGAGTGCTCAGGCAGTTTGGGTTGGTATAAGAAGTCAGGGGAGGGGGAGGGCGATTTTGGGCGGTAAAAGGAATCTTGTTCTTGAACTTGAACAAACAATTTACGGTAGTTAACATCATTTGTCATGTAAACTTACAATCTTCAGCACTAACAATTATTACAGTTGTGTTTCCCCATGTTCTTCAACAACTTGGTTTTTATTTCTATTAATACATTTTCAACTTGTTTGTTTTATTCCAACCAAAAACCCTCTTGTTTTCTTTTTTGGACGTTTTCAAGCCTTTAAAAGAAAGTTTTTGTGTTGGGCACAAGCAGATCCACTTTGCGAGCAGACTGGCCCCCGTCCATACATTATCGATACTGATTGTGGGGTTGGAACCAGCCTACCCTGCGACCGCGGAGAACTAAACATGGGCCAAATTTTTCGGTCGATGTCTCTTTAAAAAGTGAATAATTTTTGTAGTGCTAGAAAAAATTTAGAAAAGGAATTTATTTTTGGCGATGAATTCGTGCAAATAGCACCAGGAATGCAACTTTAAATTTCCTTCTTTCCCACTTAAACTTGGCAAATTTTAACAGAGGAGATTCACTGTATTAGTAACACTTGAAGTTAAATGCACAGTGATATACATACCGTTTAGTCCTGGGAGATGTCTGTTGGAGGTTCTGTTTATCGTAGGCTCGTTTCTTGAACTTCTCGATGCCGGCCGCCACGTAGAATTGCTCATTCTCAAGCTCCGAGCCGTCCGTAACCAGTTTACCTGACACGTGATACAATCTAAGAGAAAAGGGCGGGAAAACATTCCTTACAAAAATGTCTTTACATTTCCATTCTTTTCTTGAAACTACTCAATGTTGTTGTGGTTTCTTTCACAAAATCTCATATTCACAAATGACATTTTTTGTGGGTTAATGTACATGTATCTTTCCGCCAAAAGAAATAAAACATTTGAACAGA